CAGTCTGTCTCCTTTCAATCCATGTATTCCTGGATCGGGGAGGCTCTCCTCCACCGGTGACTTTGTGACCCAGGTTCCTTCCGACATGTGAACCTGCAATCTTCAGCTTATGACTCCCTAGATTGTCCTGAAATTGGTCTCCCGTCCATGGCGTCATAGAAAGGGCAGGTCTTTCTTTTGGCCTTCCCACCATTTACTTGATTTAACAACATCTCCCTCTCCTAGCATGTCTTGGGACTCTGCCATGAGCAATTCGTCCCCAGTACCTTTACCAAAGGGAAACAAGAGAACTGTAAGTGGGAAGCCGGCCTGGGATCCTGGGGGGTGCCGGGTTCGGGCCACAGGTGCCCCTATGGATGTGCAGGATAGGGCCTCAGAGAAGGCTTGGGGTGGGGAGGCAGCCAAACACCTGGTGTTTATCATTCACTCATTTATGAAAAAAAAAAAAAAACAGCTTGTAACCCGTTTCTAAAGAATTCTACCTTCATAGGAGGAATTCAAGGCTAGAGAGGATTTTAACCTGGGCTCTTTGATTTGCAAGTGACAGAAACAAAGCCTGTAGTAACTTAAGCCAACATACGATATTGAGGTAGCCCACAAAATACGATATTGAGGTAGCCCACAAAATACGATATTGAGGTAGCCCACAAAATNATACGATATTGAGGTAGCCCACAAAATACGATATTGAGGTAGCCCACAAAATACGATATTGAGGTAGCCCACAAAATGACAGGGCGGTAGGATCCCGGGCAGCCTTGGTCTTTCCAAGTGGATCAGGGAGTCACCCTGCTCAGGAGCGCCTGCCTGTCTCCAGTCTCAGAGTCAGAAAAAGGCCGCTGGGTGTTTATAGGCAGGTTTCGCCCTCTCAGGTTTCTTCCTGTGGCAGGAGCATGGCTGCCAGCATTTCATTCCCCACCAGCCGGGGTGAAGTCATGCAATGTTTGCTGATGAGGTACCTGTCCCGTGAACAGGTAAATGGCCCACGTAGTACATGAGGCTCAGTTTCTGGACTCAGCCAGTGTCACGTCTTCTCTCTTCAGCAATTCACACCTATGATCACACCTGGTCCTTGTCATTTGTCATCACAACGATGGCCCTTTTCACTACACCCTATACCTAACCTTACCAAGGTATTTGTTCCTAATACAGATTCATAGCCTCAAGTCCTGACCTATGGAATCAGTCTTTAGGAAGAAAGGCCGCGAAACCTTCACTTTGAATCAACACCCTCAGTGACCTTGATGGTCACTGGATTAATCCACCTCATCCTCAGTCTACTTATTTCAGAGGTCAGGTTCTTTCTGATGACTGTTGTTGCTCATGCTGAATGCATTTAGAATTATCCTTCAGAGAGTCCTCACGTGGGAAATGCATTCCTATTCTTCTTCCCAGCTCAGATGTCACTTCCGCTGTGCAACATTCACCTCGATCCTTGGCCTCTGTTCTTCCCGCCCACAATTTACTCAACACACCCCAGCTGCCCTCTCTAAGCCCCCTGATCTCTCTACACATGTATCACAAATTTAATATATGGACCTGTCTACATATTTCCCTCACCTATCATCCCAGGTTGAGTTCCTCAGAGAGATGAATGTTTTTAACCCTTAAAACTGGCCTGTGCCTAATATCTAGTGTGTCCTTAATAAAATATCCCTTGAATGAATAGGTTTAAAACTTACCAACCTCATGATTAGTACGTTAAAATTACTTAATAGGCTGTTATTAGTGCTTCCTGCATGTATGGATTTCTATCTTTCAAAAAAAAAGCAACTAATTAATTTCAAGCATTCAATTTTACCAAAGCATGAAAAACATGAGAACAGCTATGTACATTTCACGGCAACTTGATGAATAATTTTTTTTAGAATCAATGATGCTATGTTAAGTGGTCTACAGTACCACAAGCGACATTAAATGAACATTTTACATGTATTTATGCTACTTCTTATTTTATTTGGATGGTAATTTTATAGAGGACATGATTTTGTATAAGTTTCGACATATGTGTTTGCTTGTTTTTTTTTCTCCTCTAAGCTACAATAATTAATCCACTTGCAAGAGACTGCACAGTTGTCCTGAACATCAAAAAAATCTATCACTGAGCTTAAAACAAAAACCACTACAAACAACCTAAACTCTAAGCTTCTCTTTCACACCCATACTACTGAATCGTTACTCAGTCAATACAAGACCTACTGGATGCATGGCGTGCATTGCATCGTTCCAGGGCGTGTTTATGATGGGGGAAGGGTTTGTTGTATAATAGTTATATAAATTAATCCGGAATACTTAATTTGCCAAGCCTGATTCATATTCATATTCTGCCAGGGGGAAAGTGTTCATGAATTGAAAGAAGTGTGTTCATTGCTTTTTCCAAGCCTCTAAATTCATCCTTTGAAATAACAAAAGCCTCTCACGTCTTCACCTGTTTATGTGCTTCAGTCAAGGTTTTCAAAGTGCTTCCCAACCACAAAGCCATCCCTGTATTTGTTCCCAAACTCAGGTGTGGGTGGAATCAACTTTTGCCGAAAGAATAAAACAAAAAACAAAACAAAACAAAACAAAACACCAAAGCTGTTTAAAGTCTCTCAGGTGCTCCAGGAAGCAAATTTAGAAATGAAAATAAATGAGTGAAACCCTTCCTTGGGTTACTTGCTTATGGGCTGTGGCTTTCTTGACAGCAAAAAAAAAAAATAATAATAATAATAATTTTATTTGGAGAGGCTGCCCAAGATTAAAAGAACAGAAATTAATTCCACACTGAAGCTACAAGTTTCAGTTTTCAAGCACGTGTATGAGCACCTCTTGTCATCTGATTAAACAGTAATTTTTCTAGGGCCTTTATTTCCCTTGTTAGATTTTACTACGATGGCTTTGAGCTCTCTTTCTACAGATGGCGGAATGCATGTTTGTTTAATTTCCTATAGGGATATACAGAATCTACACAATTGAGCAGGGCCCACATGACTTAAGAAAACGTTCATGTCATCTGTTTATACTTTCTTGATCACTTTCTACATTGGGGCAAAAACGTGTTTCTTTTATTCTGAGTTACCACTAAAAAATATTTAGTGACCTATCTATCTCTCTTCATACCCCGAAATATGAACTCATTTAATATAAAAGCATGACTAACTCAAGAAGTATGACAAATAGAACGTATTTTTACAACGATGTTGTAGGAAGGCTGATGGTAAAAGGGGATGAGTGTGAATTCGTGAAAAAAACTAATTACACTTTAAAATAATGGTCTATCACTTTTAAGAACAGAGAATACTTCTCTTATCCCATTTCAAAACAAGATTTAACAAACAAAAAACCAAAAACCCTGCTCCTATTGGTGACAATGACTTTTGAGTCTCAGTCATTTAACTGAGTGGATTCCTCATGGAGTCTTAAAACACCCTACCATAGGCCCAATTTTGCTACTGACAGGTATTTATTATATGTCTAAACTTTATTTTACTTAAATTCTGAATTTAGTACCACGGAATAATTTGCATATGTCTGTTACAAAACTCATATTGCCCACATGTACAAATTAGGCACACATTATTGCAAGATTATGCACATCAAAGTTCTCTGCTGGGCAGTTTGACTAAGTTGTTCTTTAGGAGAAGAAAAAAAGGTGCTTATTAGTAAGTTGCTCAGAATATTGAGGGTGAATTTATAGACTAAATCTACTATTTTCTTATGCTTCATGCTATAAATAAAAAATAAAGAACATAATAGTGCCGAAAAAATCATATTAATCCTTACAGAATATTTTTATGTATAGATTCCTAACATGACTTGATTTAGATTCCAAAAAATAAACTGATAGAAATACATTTAAAATTATTTTTGTTTCTGTTCGGTCTGTATTCATTTTAAAAACAATAATGGCCATACAGTGCACACTCAGTTTGTTCCAGACACTATCTTAAGTGCTGGCTATGTATTATTTTATTTACTCCCTATGACTCTAAGGCAGGCACTCGTGTCATGCTCAAGCCACAGAATGGAGTCATGGAAATTGAAAGCATACAGCTCAAAAGATACTGGAAACTCCTTCGACACACAGGCAATGACGACTAGAGGCTTAAGAAACCAATTTGGGAAATCACTATCAGCATAAAAAAATTAAACAGAATAAAATAGAATAAAACAGAACAGACTAAACTAGTACAAAAATAGCCCAGGGCATTACAGATAGGAAAAGTATTATTTTGTGAGACTTTCATTTTAAATATACATGTATGTGTGATATGTATGTGTGAACTAACTCTTTTTTTTTTAAAGTTTTTTATTGTTAGTTTCAGGTGTACAGAACAATGCAATAGTTACCCTTTTCACCCTCACAAAGTAACAACCCCCCTCCCCCCATCTATTGCCCTCCACCCCCGATATCATGCTTATCTATTACAATTCCATTGAATCCGTTCTCGCACTCTACTCCATGTCCCGAGGTTATATGTATATATAATTATAGTTGACATACAGTATTATTCAACATCAGTTTCAGAAATACAATGCGGTGGTCAGGCCTCTACATCAACTATGAAGTGGACTCCCCAAAAGGACATGAGTCCATCTGGCCCCCTAAGAAATACTTACAACATTATTGATTGTATTCCTCGGACTGTCTTTTTCTATCCCTGCGGCCATATTTCAATTACCCATTTGTATTGTCTCATCCCTTCCCCTTCTCCTTCATCCCCACCCCCTCCCGACTAGCTAACTCTTGATGGTAAAGTACACTTCTCACTCTGGTTTGTGGCTTAAAGTATATATCTAATATTAGCTATGCTAAAATCAAAATCAACAGCAATCTGATTCTAAAGGGCTGAACATTATTTCTTAATTTTAAAAAGCTATATATAGTGACTATCATAGGATGGAAGATACATTTGGTCCACAGCTAAATATTCTATTCGGTTTTTTTAAATTCATGTTAGAAGAACAGCATTGTAAGATGAATCCCCCTTCTATCAAATTGATAGAATTCACAACAAAAATTATGTAAACACAAAATCTCATTTATTTTTGTCTAAAGCACAAAGGAGCTCACTCGGCACATGAACAATAAGCAAATCATACAAATATTGAGAAAAAATGTCCCCATGAACTTACACACACACACACACATACACACACACACACAAACACACACATTCTTTAGAGGGGCAATCAGGAGTTTAACAACAATGTAAGGTGGTTTTCAATAAAGAATGCTTTCTGACAGGCTTTTGAATGGGAAAAGAACAGGTAAATTACTGCCACATAACATCTGATATTCAGTCACTTGAACCCCAAGGGCTATGAAAGTCATCTTGGCATTTATATTTAGTGTCATCATTGGCCTGTTCAACTTTTGCATTTCACTAAATTTTGACCAGAGTTACAAACCAACCCCTCAACACTTGATCGCTCCCATTCAGGGCTGTGGGAGAGAAAGAGAGGAGGGGCTGGACATGACAACATGCAGGAGGACCAATGCTAGGGTTTCCTAATAGTGTCTGTTCATTCATGCACTTCTTCCCGTGCTTTTCCTTGAGAGGCATCAAAATGTGTCAGGGTTCAAAGTCATACTAAACTGGCTAGGGAGATCAGAAATTGCAAATGTCTCCTTTAAAAAGCCTTCAGGAAATAAAAATCTTAAAAATTCACAAAAGTCCACACTATTTAAAAATTATTTTAAGACATTGCCCATGACACCTTTCTTAGTCAACTTTTTAGTAATTCAGGAAACTCTTTTCAAACATGTGAATGTTTCTGGTATCATCATCAACTCTAAGAAATGGACCACAAAAAGATGTCCAGTAGGTTACAGGAGCATCCGATTCTGGGTATCTTCCATGAATATAGCACGAGGTAAACTGATCCAACGTGCCTTCCAGCTTGCCTTAGGCTTCCCATATGTCTGGTGCTGAGATGAAAAAATTAAAAATAGGAAGAGTCTGGAAGGGAGTGAAGATTCAAAATATATTTCTGGATCTCACACCCATTGTTTCCTCTCCGACATGTCAACTGTAGATGCCAAAAGGAATAGTCAAGGGCACACTTCAAAGTCAGTTAAGCATAATGGGAGTGTTTTCCCACCGCTTTGCTTTCTTTACCGTGCAGAATTCTCACGGAAGTACAAAAGAGAGTCAACGGGCTTCAATGCTAACAATATTAACTTAGTAAGACCTCCTCCCGGCATGAAGAAAGCTTGTTCCAAGATATTCTTTTGGACTCTAAAACCTTCGACAATTAAATCAGAGAAGCAGCCGGGAGAATAAATAAGGGAGCAGAGTCTCCTTGGTCTCAGTTTCCGTTACCTAGGACAACCGCCCATGCCCTAATGCCATGTTTCACTCTCTTTTTGAAAACTAAATTCACCTTAGCTGATTAGCCTGTTTTTGTGTGCCGGTTTGCAGAAATATTTTTTTAAATGTATGAGAGGCAATCTTACTGAATACGTTGTTACCTGCTAAAGTGTATTTCATTAAAAATGACATGAAACCTGGAGCAAATAGTACAGGGTGCGGTGAGGGAGCTGATAAGAAGTTTTAATTCCTTCTTTCCTGTCAGAGAGCAAAATACTCAAACACAAAGTGACAGATTGGGTTAGCTTGGAATACTGCCTCTCCACAATCAGAAAGCCAACCCGCATTAGGCAATGGCAACAACTCATAAGGTGCAGAATATCTGGTTACATGTACGGCTAATGCAGGTAGTGCTGCAAAAAGCATATGCAACATTCAGGAACACGGTACTTGGAGAAATACAGCACTTAAGTTCTAACTGATGCAGAAAGATCAAAGCACATGGGAAACATTTTAACACATTTTATTTTCACTAGAAAAAAGATATTCAGGTCTTAACATACCATCAGGGCTAAATTTAATGTTTGTCCAAGTGGTTGTATATGGCCATTCTTCCTGCTTCTGATGCTCCACTTATTTATATTTACTGCCTCTGAATCCTAAATCTAAATGAAAACTGACATTCGACACCAACATGTACACCCTTAAGGTAAAGTGCAGGATCTCGCAACGGCTGAGGACAGCTATTTCCTATCAGTGGGTCTTGCACATCTCATCCAAACTCTTAAGCCCACTCATGTGGGGTAGACACCAGGTAACCACGTTCCTTTGGCACGGATTGGGAAATAGGGCAGAAAACACCTGCCAGCACTATAGAAAAATGGGGAGAAATTTGGTGGGATATCTTTGACATGGATCAGGAATTAGGAATTCTGCAAAAACAGCTACTGGGACTAGAAATTGGATTTATTGAGTTACTTAATATCCTAAAACACTCTTGGTGTTTTTTTTTAAAAATAAGACCAAAAATGTGTTCTATCTTTAGGTCTAGTGTCTACACAATCAAATCCAATCTAAAAGTGTTTCCACCAAGAAAAAAACAAAACAAAATTGGACAAATTACTGCTGAATTAGTATGGCTATGTGAGAATAAAATTTATAGTACAAGAGGAAGAAGTTTGTTCTTAGTTCTGTAAATATGGAGTTAGCCATATAACATAAAGTTCTCTACTATAAGGTAATAATGAGTCACACCTCGTCCTAGGTATGAGTGTTATGATATATTAAGAAAATCTACTCTTTTCCTTGTTAGATTATAGTATTTGAAATTAAATGAGAAAAATATAGTAACATTCACATTATTACTTCTTAAGGATTTATCATAGTCATAATTTGCTTTTAATTCTAGGCTATGGGAAAGAATACTAATTAGTTAGGAAGCATAAAAATACTCTGCTTTGTTTAATATTCCTAGCTGTCTGGTACAGAATGTCTTATTAATATAAACAGTAGTGGGACATCTATATATTTTTCATTATAGCAAAATTCTAACATCTTGAAATTATTAGGAATTAAAAGGACAATAGAATAAAATTGAAAAACAGAGTGCGTTTAATATGCAGGGTCTAAAGATTTTTAATAATATTTCTCTTAGTAAGGTTTGTCCTTCACTTTAAAGTTCTAACAGATTGATATCAGAGTACAAAATTTCCAGCGACTTTTGGGTTCTTAAGGAGAATAGGTCATTGCAATGAACCCTTCCTTTCAGTATTGACAGCTCCTGAATGCCCAGCATTTGCCCCAATTTTATGAAGACTTCAGTCTACACAATAGTGGGGTATGGAGTTTGTTTCTCTTGTAATAAAACTGAAGCAGTAATAGCATCACAGAGTTATACACTAAGGTGATTTAAAATACACAAAAATGCAGCTATTTATGCCATATATGTGAATAATATTCCTAAGAGTTTTAAAATCTTTAATACCCAACTTCTGTCAAACACTTTGAAGCAGAGAACTATATTAAGAAAGAATGTGGCATTCAATTGCTGACAATTCATCCCCAAAGACAGCAAAGCACAACAATAACACGTCTCTGAAATGCAAATTCCATTAAATGCAAATTTCCAGAACACAAAGTCAATCTAGAAACATGTTTTAAAACTCAACAAGTTCTCTTTCTAAATTAGTATGCTCAGTATATAGTTTTCAAGCACAAACCGAAGTGATCTTCAGTGTTTTTCATAGTCTAACTTTTTCTTCCTCATAAAAAGATACTCACTGGTTCAATTTCCATTTCCAATTTGTGCATTTATTAGCTCAAAAATATCTAACCTCACAGGAATATCTTTTCTCTCCACATTTCCAAATATGAAATAGATTTTACTTAAATGTCAATAAGAACACCACTAGTAATACCATCCCCTTATGTTTGAGCTTAAAGTAAATCTGAACAGCTCAAAAGAGAGAAATTTTGAATCCTCCCAACCAGAGAGTTGAGAATTAGTGCAACTCCCTTCAATTTGCCAAGTGAATACTGTAACTAGACACAGAAAAAGATAGTCATCCCAAGAACAAGGTGCTATTTTTTGACTTTCTAACTCCGCCTGGACACAAGGGATAGATGCAGAACCATGTTATCCCAGGAGAGCTTGTAGAGGCTCAGGGCCTTAGACTGAGCTTGAAAATGGAACCACCTGCTTTCCGCACACATACACCTCCTCAATATTTCGGTCATCTCCTGAAAAAAAAGCATCAGAGAATCATTCATAAAGTGCTGTGTGTCAATAAGTATTTTAATTGTCACTGGGAGAGATTTAAAAGAAAAACACACTTCTAAGAAGAGAAAACACAAAAAGCTGCCTCTATTCTTTCAGATTGTTTATAATCTGGACAGGGAGATATGGCCAAGTGAAGATCCTGCATCAAATTTGAGGACTGGAGTCTGAATTCTGTACCTGAGGCAGAAATCACATCAAGTTGAATCAATCCTCTATCATTGGCCTTTCAGCTAAAGTGAGTGGTTTGCATTTCCAATTCCAATGGTAAAGGAAATACTTATCTTTACACCCCAGAATCATAATCAGCATGGTGCAATGAAGGGCCTGCAAGAACTGAGCTCCACAAGAAATAGCATATGTGCCTCTCCCATCTCAAGTTCACTAGGGGCTCAGAGCTCACTTCATGAAGGGGGAGGCAGAGTAGAACCGTCTGCATTATTTATTTCTCTTAGTCAGTGAATACATGAAAAAGCATGTGTGGTGAGACTCCACCACATACTTATCACAAGTACAACGTGGTAGGGCAGACTGGGGGTAGAGAATGAGGGTCGGAGGAAGAGACAAGGTGATCTTTTCCCCCTGGCCTGCCATTCCTCAGTTTAGAATTTATGACTGTATGTTCTAGAGAAGCATGCACACTTCAAAGAGTACCTTTAAATACTATGCCACAAATGGGCTCCATGTTGAAGAATGTTAAAAAAAAAAAAGTAATGCCAATAAGCAAACATAGGGTTTAATATATGGTATCATAAATGCAGAGAGCCACACGCAAGAAACAGACAATGAGAGATTTTATTTAGCACAGAAAATATATCTCTACCTACCTAGATAGAGGAACTTCTGGATAATAGCCTAAAATGGAAAATAAAGGTAATAATAAGAAAGAATATTTTATGTATTTAGAAAAGTAAATTCACAGCCAATAGCGGTTGGCAAAACCCAGAAATACAAATTCATTTCTCAATGGCAAAATCTACTTTTATTAATGAAAAAGAAATGGTCTTTTGCTTAAAAAAAGAAATACTGGCTATTAACAAATATTTATCTATTGCCTGAAAATTCCTGGTATATAACCTTGAAATCTTCAGACGTGTCATACAAATTAAATAAATTAATTTAATAAAATAATTCAAATATTTTATGAGGTGTAAAATATAAGAAAAATGCCTGGATGAATGGGACTGAGCCCTATTCCCAGAAAGTCACTCTAACAAAGGAAGAAAAGAATAAATAATAGAAAAATAAATGGTATCAACTTCAAATAATCCAGCATCTTTCTTCTAGAAAACCTCAATAGGTTATTGTTAGTATCACATTTAATTTCATAAGTGGATCAACTTATAAATGGTAATTAATTTCTTTAGAAAAGCTCAATATCTTATAAAGAATTGTTATTAAAGTAAGAAGACCCAGTTTATTTTATACATAGGGAAACATTTTATAAGATGAAGGAACAAAGTAATAAAACTCATTTTCCTATAATTAAGAAAGTCAACGTAACATTGTGGTCAAGAGCCCAGACTCTGGAAGTCAGCAAGTCCTGGGCTGAAACTCCAACTCTGTCTACTAATTACTAATTACTAGTCATGAGTCCTTAGGTGAATCATTTAACCTCCCTTAAGCTTTACTGACCCATAAAGTACATGGCAATATCAATAGCACCCACCTCTCATAAGTATTGTTCTGATGATTAAACAAAAATGATGTGTATGAAAGTGCTTAATGCCAGGCCACCTAACACATAGCAAGTGTGTTCAATAAGTGTTAGCTCTATTAGGGCTTCTTATAAGCAAGTTCATTTAAATATACAAATATATTCAAAATCCAAGTATTTTGTTAGTACCACTATTGCTAACGTTATTCTCATGAAATTATAATATAATAATTTAAAAGAACCTAGTTTCCTTCTTAAGATTCTCCTGCATTCCATTAAAATGTTTCAGTTTCTATTTTTTTTTTCTACAGGAAAGCTAGTATGACAACTTCATGAAATAAATGCCTTTTGATTAACTTTCTTCTACTTACCTCAGAAATATCACCAACCAAATCCCCAGAAAACATGTCAATGGGAGAGTCAGATGCTTTGGGGTTGATCAAGAGGGCATCAAACTCCTTGCCCACTTCAAAGTTTCCAATCTCTTTATCCAGCCCCAGGGCTACAGGGTGGAATAAATTAATAAACAGTCATCAGATCATGCATATGTCCCAGTCTGCACAGACAGAGTCTGTCAACACGTCACTAGAAAAAAATTAGTCTCTTAATAGTGAAGCAGAAAAGCTCTCTCATTCCAATAGTTTACAAGACTTCAACTTACAGAAAGCAGAGTAAGTATAGGAAAAGCGAGATCTGAGAATAAAAACAGTCCCCTTCATCACTGTGACCATAATTCTGATGTGTCTCTATTTCGTCTCTATTTCAGCTCTATCAGTGCACTTCACAGTCCACCTGGTCTATGATTTTCATTCATCCCTCTGAGAAACATGACAATCGACAATATCTTTCTTCTTTTTCCCTCCTATTCTCCCCTCAACACTCCAAGTTCTTTCCTTGCACTTTTTGTTCTATGAAATAGCTGACAAGATCTATTTTCATGGTGGAGAAATGAACCTTGGATAAAAATAAATAAATAAATTATCCTTTTGCATATCTGCCAACACAGGCATATCTATCATGCATTCCTTAGTTTAAATCCTTTGACTAGAAAGAAATTACTTTGGAAAAGAAATAGATCCTCATAACTAGTCCCAATCTTTTTGAAAGCAAACCAATTTCTTTGTCACCTCAAAGATTTTTCTGGTTGTTAGAAAAAAATGGTTTTCTAAAATAGGACACAGGTCAATAATGTCCATTGACTCGATCCATCTCAGAGCTAGAATTCATGTTTCATGAATACTGGATGCCGAGAAAGAACATCTTTCATTTTTATGGTTTAGTTTCAAAAGATGGCGGTAGTTGGTTTTCCAGATCAATGAGGGTATTAAATCAAAAGCTCCTTAAAGCCTGTAATTTGAGTAAAGTGTACACCACTGAGGTACTAAATGGAAGCATGCATAAAAGGAGAGTCAACTGGAAGGCAGCAGTATTTTTGTGGATTTTTACATGTGTTTGTTTTATTCTATCACTGTCAGGACATAGTCCAATATGAAAATATTGGATTGCATATCCCTGTTAGGCACTATCTGTTCTATTATATTTTTATGTATGGATATCCAGAACTCTTCTGGCAACGCTCTAAGCACTGACTTAGAAATTCCACTTGTTCTAAAGAGGTTATTTAAAGGGTATCTCTTTTATTCTCAGAAAAGAAAGCTTTTTTAGCTAAAGAATTCTTATAGAAAGACAGGTGCAAAAATTATTAGAAGTGTTAAAAGCAGTTAGGTGACTTCTACTAATTGTGTGGGGAAGGAATGACTGTAATAGAAAATAACTGGAAATTCTCTCCTCCTTCACTGATTACACTCTACTTCCTTTTGCCCTTGACAAAGAAGCATGGCAAATGTGAGTTTTTAATTACTGTATTCAACATAAACTTGTGTGTTTACCAGATAACCAGGTTCATTTGCCAGAGTTTGGTAATATATATAAACTAATAGAGCTATTTGTTAGAACCTGGAGAGTTCAGGCATGAATTCACCAAAAAAGACACAATTGCTTTTAGTGAATTTGTAAATTGATCTAAATTCAGATTATTGCAGAGAGGCCCAGCTGGGCTGGTAAGCAACTCCAATGCATTTTAGGAAACACAGTTTTGCTGCCTTTAGAGCAAATGTTGGCTCTGTGAAGGTGGTTTATGCACATGGCGAATATAAAGGCCATGGCAAGCTGGGAAGATGTCACACTTTAAACAGGGATCCATTCATCTCATTGCACTCAGGTTCTTGTAGAGACACAAGTTAAGGAGAAGAAATTCCATAACAGTAAGCCCAGAGACCCAGAAAATAGATTTGAAAGCTATACAACAAGGTAGAAATGATTTGGTAAGCACCCCATGCCAGCTTGATCAGTCACAGGATGAAGCAACTCAGAGAGAGTCTAGAATAAAAAACAAACAAACAAACACTATTTAAATACAACTCATTTGCACCATGAAAATAAAATGGTTGGCCAACTGCTTGGACTCAGATGCACAAACACAGTGGGGATGGAGATGGGGAATGTCACACTTGTTAAAAGAATGGGTGATTCAAAATGTGGAACTTTAAATGAAATCCTAAGACTTAGGGAAATGCAAAGAGCATGACCTCTATTTGTTTTTCTTGAAAGATTCTTTATGGCATTCATCATAGCCCAAAATATTCAAAGAAGATGCAGGAAGTTTCTCTTCCCAGGTTACTCTTGGTCTCCATCATCCTCCATTTCTAAGACTCAGGTTATCTATCATAAATCTATCAAAAACCTGTCACTGTATCTATAATTTTATTTCTCACTGGCTACCTAAGGTTTCATGCTTTGTTCACTATCATCCATCCAGATTATACCACAATACTAAAGTGACTGAAAGCAATACAATTACCAATTTCTATTTTTTCCATAAAAATACAGCCACATGCGTGAACTGGGAAAAGCTCATGAACAATATTTGCATATCAAACAGCTACAACTTTACATCTTTCTCCATTTAAAGATACTTGGATAATCAGTGTACTGAAATATATAAACAAAATGCATAGTCTAGGCTCGGATTCAGACAGGAAGATATCACAGTGGAGGGATAAGAACCTGCACACTGGCAACAGATTTTCTGATTTCATGGCACTCTACAGCTTGACAGCTATGTAAGCCTCCCTCAGGTACCATATTGGTAAAAAGGAATTAATAATAGTGGTTGTGAGTAACAACATACATAAAGCATGTTGCATAGTGCCTATCACATGGTAAGAACTCAGTAAGTCTTGGCTTGGCTATTAGTTTCACTATCATCATCATCACCATCATCATCATCATCATCATCATCATGGCTCAGGCCAATAGACACCATGTTACTTGACTCAATGGAAAACTGATTATTTAAAAAATTTGTCATGCATGTGACCAATGCAAATATCCATTAAAACAATTAATACAATAATTCTATATTGAACATCTCTTCTGCCAAAGACAGAGAGCTTGCTGAAAGAATGATGCCTCCACCACATGCTTGAACATGTACTTGACTTGCTCAGTTTTGGGTATGCTATGTGAGATGCAACAGCCATGAATCCTGGATGCCTGCTGATGCCACGAACATATACCTTCATACTGCACCCAAGGACACAGATTGGCACAGTTGTACACTGTCACAGAGAGAAATAAAATGGTTATTTACCTTGGCTGCCTCCAAGAGTAGCTAGTCTGAAGACCTCTTTGAGGGTGAGGGTTTTTTTATTTATCTTATTAACTGAAAGGATGTTAGAAACCATCACTGCTCTTCTGATTGCATCAAGCACGGAAGATGAATAACCACCAGCAACATCTATGGTAGACAAAGTAAAGCCAAACAGTAACTCTATGAGGTAAATGGAATATTAAGTATATACAGTTGGGTGTGTGTGTGTGTGTGTGTGTGTGTGTGTGTGTGTGTTTAGTGACAAATATTTAATCTTTAATATACTTCAGAGAAAATATTTTATCTATAAACACAGAATAGACACAGACTAACATTGAAAGGAATTCAAAACCTGCAATGAATATCAAATGTACACCTATACTGGTTTCCTAGAGATGCTGCAAGAAATTACCACAAATTTGGTGGCTTAAAAGAGCAGAAATTTCATCTCTCTCTCAGCTTTGGAGGGCAGAAGTCTTTAAAGTGTTGGCAGAGCTATGATCCCTATAAAGGCCCTAGGGAGAGACTCCTTCCTCGCTTCTTCCATTTTCTGGTGGCTCCTGGCTTTCCTTGGCTTGTGGAGTAGAACTCAAATATCTGCCTCCATCTTCACATGGCCTTCTTCCCTCTGTGTTTTTATGTGTCTCTCATCAGTCATGCATAATTGGATTAGCCCCCCCCCAATTGAGAATGACTTCATCTTGAGATCCTTATCTTAATGATATCTGCAAAGACCTTTATTCAAAATAAGGTCATGTTTACATGTTACAGGTAGACATCTTTTGAGGGGTGGGGGGCAGGGGTACACAGGTCAACCCAGTACAGTATGCACAAATGGTTAATAAAGTTAAGAGAAGAAACTATTATCTCTGAATATTCCCTAAACTTTCACGAGATTGGTCAAATATGTCTGCCTCGTTCTAAAGATAATTTAGATAACATAATATGAGATTTAAAATAAACTCACAGTTCTATGCTCTAAAAATCTGTCCTACCTCTATTTTAATTCAGATGAGAACTTTGGGAATTAAAAAGGCACTTCTTTATGACAATTTTAGCAAAAGAGCTTTTAGAATGAACTGATATATTCTGGAAAATAATTATAATAAATGAGCAATGCTGATGTAGACAGCTTTATATGTATGTTAGCATCGTTAGATGAGGAATAAGATTTTTAATCATTTAAAAAATAAAGTCCCTCATCATCTTTAATTTGACATATTGCCATCGACGAGAACAAATGTAGGAGTTATTAAATGAGTTTGTATAAATAAATGTCAAGTAAGTTAGCATGTTTTATTAGAGGAAAAGTATAGCAAAAAAAATACACTTTATATTTTAAGGTTTTTTTCTGTCATTTCTAAGTAGATATATAATTCTAAGTGCCTACATATATTGCAAAAGTAACAATAGCCTATTAAGTAATAATCCTAGATTGCAGTTCAAATTTTTTTCATGTTTAATTATTTCATTCTTTTTTTGCAGTTCAATTTTATGTTCAACCATCTTCCACGTCCTTAGATAAACTTGTATAAATTTTTTTCAGAAAATGCTTTTCTTTAACCAGAACAGTGTTGCCTAAGGATCGTCCACTTCCTTAACCAGTTTTATTACGTCTACTTAAGTTACTAGTCCATTTTAGTAACCGTCTAGTAAACCTTCATTTTACCATAGCATTAAACTAAGAAAACAAATAAGATTTGGGAATAACACACATTAAGCTTTGAGATACTTTGTCCACTGCCTTTTCTTTATTGTTAGAACAAAGAAAATGTGAAATATAAAGGCAAAATGAAAATGTTATCACAATATGGTATGGAAACATGTAAAAGTTGAATATATATTTAAAAGTATGTGGATAAAAACTGGAAAGAACGGAAAAACAAAAGCAATGCCATTAGAATGGTGTGAATATGGAAGATTTAAATACACAAAATTATAAAAACAGGCTTTGTAAAATAGGACAGAAAGTAGTATTTTTCTCAATAGCTCATCAAAACTATCCATGTAGAAAGAATAAGAATAGATTAGGAAGCAATGCTATGCAATTTATTGAGAAAATTTTGAGCTGTCTTATTATATTGCTGCCTTAAATGATGATTTAATCATCCTATATTCTCTCGGTTGTTATGTTAATAAAGTAACTTCCAACAAAGGAACAATACTGTGCAGATCAAAGAATGAACCCTGGACCACACAAGACATGGTATTTAATCAAGCTTTTCTTCCAGGGATTTCCATTGTGATAGCAACTTCCTGATCCCTACCCTGCCTTCTCTTGCCTCTGCAACACAATTTAATGCAGGTAGAATCCCTACTTTAGTATATAACAAGAGGCATTGTGATGGAGTCAAAAGAGAAATAACGAACATCACATTTTACTGACCTAGTTTTAAACTGTGGATCTGGAACTTGTTTGCTTTGTTGACCTTTGGTCAGTTACTTAGTACCTGTGAACCTCAATTTTCTCAGCAAATAGGAATAACTTCACCTATCTTAACAGATGCTGAAAAATCCAATTAAGTAACATAAGTGCTGGGGAATGAGGACTAGAGGGTAGAAACCGCATGGGGGAATGGTGGAGAAACATGGATGCATTTTCCCGGACAATCTATCCCCAACTCCATGCCCCTCTACCGGCATGATAGAGAATGGCACTATCCTTTGCTTACCAGGGTCAACTTAAGGACAAATAAACCATACAGCAGTAAAAACTTGAGCCAGAGGGCAATAAAAAGATATTATTTTATACGTGTGTTCATTTCTTATGCATTCATTCATCAACAGTCATTTACTGAGCACCTTCTATGTGCCTGATTCATTTAAGCACTCATAAGCAGAACTTAATGGGCTCCATAACTATATAGTGGAGAAGAAAGAAAAGAGACATCAAAAACAAATATTAACTCTAAACTGTGTTTGGTTAGTGACAGAGAAGATGGAGGTGGGAGGCCTTTTTAGACGGGATGGTCAGAGAAGACCTCTTTAAGGCAATGACATTTAAACTAAGACAGGAATGAGAAGAACTCAGCAATGTACAGAGAGGCATAAAAGGTATTCCAGGCAGAGGGACAGGATGCACAAAGGTCTTCTGGTAGAAGGGGGTGTGATTCAGATGGCATTTAGAGACAGCCAGTGTGGGGAGGAGAAAGTGGTGTGAGATGAAGTTGGGAGGTGGATGGTATTACACGGTGGAGCGCTTTGTTGTCCTTGTAAGGAGGTTTGCATATTCAAAATCCCACTGAAGGATCGGGTGAAATGGTTGAATTTTCACTGTGATTAGAAGGGCTCAGGATGACTATGAGGCCAATTAGGAAGCTAGTGCAGGACTTCAGGCAAGAAACAATGGCAGCTTGCATCAGGTGGTAATGGCTGATATAGAAAAAGAGGATATATTCAGGAAGCAGGAAGAAGTCATGAGATTGGGCATTGTACTGGCTCAGACATGGGGGAGAGGTAAGGGGGCAGAAGGTCCTGAAGACAATGACCAAGTTTCTACTTTGAGAAACTAAATTCTCTGAAAAGGAGAGCCATTTAAGAGAACCGGGCTTAAATGTGTTTGGGGGTATAATGAACTTTGGAGTTTCTAGGAGGAAGGGACAAGGAGGAAGGAGAAACTAAGCAATTGAAAATGCAGATTTGGGGGCCAGCCGAGTGGCGTGTTAAGAGCTGGCTTGGGATGCCAGAGGGCCCTGGTTCAGATCTCACATATTAGGACCAGTGACACTGCCCTCTACAGCTAAGATGCTGAACAACAGCTCAACCTGGAGCTGGGCTGCTGTGAGCCACTGGCGACGGCGTAGACTGCAGACCCTGCTGCAGTGGGTTGCCATGGGCTACCGTGTGTAGCCAGCAGCCACCGTGAGCTGCCATCCAGAAGCCGGTGACTGATCTGCCTCACCAGGGAAGAGCGCAATGATGGTGCCAACTTGGGCCAGTGAAGCAACATCCTCCACAACTAGACTGAAGAACAAAAGGACAGCAACTTGTCTGTTCCCCTTCCCCCAATTCCCCAGCACTGTTCCCATCCCCCAATTCCCCAATAAAAATTAAAAACAAACAAACAAACAAACAAACAAACGTAGATTTGGAATTCAAAGAGGAGCCTGAGCTGGGTATAAAAACCTGAGTCATCCGCATACATGTGATCATATAAAGCCAAGGTTGTGGATAAAGTCTCCTAAGAACAATATAAAGTAAAAAGAGGAGAGAACCTAGGAGTGAGCCCTGAGGAGAGCTTTTGAATGGCCAAGTAGAGGAGAAAGGGCCTTCAGAGAAGATAAAGAAGGGCTGGCAACAGAGGAAAAAGGGACATGAGAACAGTGTGGTTTCACTGTTTGGACACAGGAGAGAGTAGTCAACCATGATGAATACTACTCAGGAGTCCAATATGGTGTTCAGAATGGCGTCCTCTGGAGTTGGCAGCAGAAGTGATCACAGTGGTAAAAGCCCAGGGGATAAAAGACAAAGATAGTTACCATGGAGGGTGAGGCAAGAAGCCAGCCTGAAGCAGGCGGAGGAATGGAACTTGCCTAAAAAGTGGGAGCAGTGATGGGACCCACACTGTGAAGCAGTTTTGCTGTGAAGGGGCGACGTAGAGAGGTGGGGCAGGAACCAGAGGGGGTGTGTGACTAAGAGAGGGGCTGTTTTCATTCCTTTGCCTAAGAGATCCGAAGACACTAGAGAATATGTATATGCTGACAGCAATGATCCAGTAGGGAAGACATAACAATGGTGCAGGGCAGTCAGCGGCCCAAGTAATTAATTTATTAAGATACTGGAAGAGGGAGGGGATACAGAACACACCTAAGGGTATTTTGGGGTTTGCCTTAAATTGGAGGAGGGACTTTGGGGGTGGGGGACTGTTATGAGTAAAGCTGGTATAAACATTCCTGCACAACTCTTGTTGCAAACAAACATAAGTGTTCACGTTATTTTGGGTAAATAGCCCAAAATGGAATTACTGGCTCATATGTACACGTATATTTAACTTGATAATAAACTTCCAAACAATTCTCCAAAGTGGTTGTAGCACCTGCCCTCCCTCTAGTTGTGAATGAAAGTCTACATGCTGCTTCTTGTTTTTTTGTTTATTTGTTTGCTCTTCTCTCAGTCCTTCTTCCATTTAAAAACTCTCCTTTTCCATCACAAGGTGTGGTCTTTTCAGAGTGCCATGTCTTCTTGTACACCAAGAGTGATGGCAATGTTCTGAACTTTTTTTCTGGATCCTGAAGATTGTTTGCAGAAATATGCTCATCCTTTTATTCTTTTTGATAATGCTTTCTCTTGTTTTACAATATTTTTGTTAAGCTTCATGTGGGTTTCCCCTATCTAACACTTGAGCGAGTCCAGATCTGCCTACACTCGTTATACACATGGTAAGTGAACCACTCTTGAAACTACTCTCTGTCCATAGCACCCAGCTAAATAATTTTCTCAAGTCTACAAGTAAAGGACAAGTTGATACACAAAGGTCATGTTTAAGAAATAGTGGAGCTGTATGTCAACTATAAGTGAATATATATATATATATATATATATATATATTGTCATGGGACGTGGAGTATAGTGTGGGAGTAGAGTCAAGGGATTTGTAGTAGATATGTATGATATTGGGGGGAAGTGGGGCAGTGGATTGGGGGAGGAGGGTTGTCACTTCGAGGGGTAAAAAGTATAACTATTGCACTGTGTTGTACAGCTGACACTAATTCTAAAAAATGTGTATTTCATAATAAAAATAATTAAAAGAAAAGAAAAAAATATCATAATAATAATAAAAAAGAAATAGTGGAGCATAGGGTGGCTACTGCAACAGAGACTATGTAAAGTTCAACAGCATCGTCCAACTTAATCAGCAAATACACCATATTTAATCAAACATTTGGTCACTAAACCAACATTGCTTTCTCTTTTAAGCCTATTTTTATTGACTAGTACAATGTGCCAGGTATGTGCTAACCACTTCGTACAGATTTTTTTATTTTCATTTAAGCCTAAAAACAAGCTTGTAAGATAGACATTGTTATAATTGTTGTTGTTATGGAAATTAGGAAATGAAGCCTTAAAAAATTCATTTGTTCAATGTCTTACAGCTAGTTAAGTCACAGAGCTTTACCTAATTGTTTTTGGTCATCACTATACAACCCAAAGTCAAGAACTAGAAGTCATATGATGAATTTAAATCACAGAGACCAAAGTAGAAAGTTTGGGAAGAATACCTATCTGATTTTTGCATGTCTGCCAAATTTTTCATTAATTGACTATAGCATGTAACAAAAACCCCTGGCCATTTTTTCTTATCCATTAATGCTTTTCTGTGAAGGTGAAATAACTGCTTTTCAGCCTTAACACCTGTGACCATATCCAGGTATTACACATATTTTAAAAACATTAACAAATCTCTTTGTGTTATTGTGCATCTTACCAATGAATTGCTTGGTATAAGATTAACAGTGACTTGAATTATTGCAGAAAATGATGAAAACCATCAGTCAACATGCAAACATCCTGATGCTTTTAAATATCAGGAAGACAAATGCATCAAGAACAGAAAACAAGTCCTTGTGACTCACACCCATTTTTTTCTTTTTTTTTTTAGTTCATTCACACAGGCTCACAGTGGATATGCCCAGACATTTGGACATGACGCACACTTTCAAGTGAGTAGCACGGCCCACACTCAGGGAAAACAATTAAAATGCACTGTGAAAAAAGAGACATCACTAATTCTAAAGCCACAGAGAACGTCCTTCAGCCTAGCAAACATCCGACTGCCCGTGGGAATGGAATCTCATTTTGTTCAACACTGCTTAAAAGCAAAGCAAGTTCTTCACATAACTCAGAGTTCTGAGTGCTGGCATGGATTGAATTTGTGCTCACTACAGCAAGGTCAAATTGTTTTCTTTTGAGAAAGTGTTTGTGATCACACAGTTATTGAGGACTAAAAAGACACAAATCCAAACTATGAAAGCCTAGCCAGAAGGACAAAACAAAAGGGGGGGAAAAAATCAAGGACTTTTTATAAAGAAACTCTAAAACACTTTAGAAGGACTTATCCTTCATAGCCTAGTCTGAAAAGTAAACATGGTTAAAAGCTTTCAGGTTAGGGACATCAAAATGTCTTCCTTTGCATACATCTTCCTACGGCTTCCAAACACATTATTTTATTAGCTCTAGATATTACTACCAGATAATAAAACTAAACATCTTTTTAACACAGAACTGTAATCTGAAAATGAGTCACGTTAAACGTTATGCACTTAATCAATCGCCTTGCTGTGGCTCCAAATGGCAAACGACTGACCTGTACCCAGCCCCACTTTCACTTCATGTTTCAGGACTTCCAACACGTTGAGAAAGCCGCTGCTGAGCCTGTTGGAAGAGGAGATGGTCAGAACAAGGAGACCTCTGTGGTTCCCACAAGAGAAAAACGCTAACAGTAAAGATGGTGATGCCACTGAAAATGGTGTTTCCCTTTACATCAGCTCTAATGTTGCCACAAACACGTTCGTCCACTCAGACCATCTGCGTCCTGGAGTACATAAGGGATCATAAAGGAGCTAGAGTCCTTGGGCTCAGGTTAATCATAGCAGGATACAAAGAAGCAAGAATGAGAAGGAAAAGCAGGGAACCATTTGTAAGGAAAAATGAATGAAGAAATTAAATCTGGTACATCAGTCTTTAATATATTTTTTAACCAACCCATTCTTCTACGTTAAGATGTAAAAATTATAAACCATTGCCTTTCCACTCAATTTGCAACAATCTGTTACCCTGAATAACTAGCTATGTGCAAGATCCAAAAATGGGGTATAACTAAAAAAGGGGGTGCAGACTGGGGAGTCAGGGCCTGAATTCAAATGCTGCCACTGAGGACAGCAGCCACTAGGAGAGATGGTTCCTGAGCAGAATTCTGGACCTCATGACTCTGAGCTTAACAGATGCACCCCCTTTCTAAAGAAACAAAACTAAAGCAATCCTGAGAAGGTACAAGGGTCAAAGAGGTCTGCTCAAAAGCGCACATAGCTATAATTTTTAAAGCCCCAACATACATGCAGTAAATCTCTCAAAGTTGTTGAAGAAAGAATAGCAGTGACCATTTAAACAGAAACGTATCCATAAATAAATTTAACTTCAAACCTCAATTTGCAAAACTGGATCATATTTTAATTTGGATGTTGTGTAACTAACCTAAGAAATGTGAAATCCTTCCCCTGCCTGGCCGTGACACTATAATTAAGGTCACTAAACTGTACATAGGCAAGACCCCTGGTCACGTGTGACCAATCTGTCTGAAAACTAGAAGCCTCTGGAACCTTTTAAAACCCTCCAGAAACAAACCACTGTGGCTCTTGTGCCTTTCCCAGACCGCCACATCACTTTTTCATTCGCAACGTCCTTATACTTCGAACTGCCAGGACCTCCACTTCTTTACCTGGGGCTCTCAGCTGCTCGAGCCTGCTCTGCCCTTGTTTGGGGAAGGTCGGGGGCTCCAGGGAATCAATGCCTTCTTCACCCTCACCCAGCAATCCTCCACCAATAACTAGTGGGTGTTTGGGTGTAACTACCCCAGCTCCCCGACCCCTTGGGCAGGATGACATTGAAGGCTGCTTCATACACTGACTCCCTGAGTTCTCCAGAAGGATTAAGTCCCAGGAACCCACAGTGGTACCTCGGCTAATGATGCATTCTTTACTAACTTCCTTCCCTTCTCTGTCTCACCCCCTAAACGTATTTCCTGAGAGTGCCTCCCAAATAAACTCCTTGTATGTGAATCCTTGTCTTATGAACTGCTTGTGCAAGAACTCAAAACAAGAGAACACAAAGTAACCCTCAAAAACACTAGCATTCTAGCAGAGCTAAATAAATCTGTTGGATGAATATATGAACGATCCATCCCAATCTGCCTCTGAGAGGTAGGAGCTCCACTCTGGGTTGACTGGCACCAGAAATGAAAGCTCCTTTCTGTATCTCATCCTGGAGCACGGATCCTTCACCTAGCATCATGGAACCTATGAATTCCCTGAAATTAGATGCAGCATGTTTATATTTATGGGTTTATTTCTGAAGACACAAGCCGTAACTTTCGCCTGATTTACTTAACGTATATATATATATAGCCTTTCAAAACGTTAAGAATCAGTTATACATAAAGCTTGTGCATTCTGGTGAGCTACAACAGGACAAGGTCCCTCCCATACTAACTGGCATCCTGTCAGACCCAGCGGTGTGACATATGCATAGGGTGTTGGCTTCCAGTAGCGCTGCATCATTTCTACTAGTTTGCATGTTTCTAGTGTGTGTACAACACAAAGCAATGGGAAGTCAGCAGCCTCTCCCTGGAACACCTGGCTGACGTATGTGCCGTCAGTCCTTTGCTGTAAATTCTGAATGCTATTGGTTTTGAACTCTTTCTATTGTATTTCCAGTTCCCTGTTTTGTGCAAACTCAGACATTTTAAGAGATGTGGTTCTCTTCAAATGCATACTCGGCAAAAAATGTCCTGTTAAGTACTCTCTTTCTCCCCACTACAGCACAGGTGGCACATCTGTCTATCTAGCCCCATCCCAGTCAAACATAACTATAGAAGAGAGATACTGGAGGAATGATGGAGAAAACAAAAGTATTTGGCTGCAAATTTGTAACCCAGACGTTCATAATCTATCAATCAATGATTGCTGACTTACGATAAGTTAGAAGTGGGACAATGTGAGATCGATGCTCCTCGGTCCTTGAATATATCCAGTTCTTCTGAGGAAAGGTGGCAGCCATGCGCCATCACTGTCTGGAGAGAAGAGAGTCCTATGTGGAGTTTACAACTTAAAAAGGCTAAAGTTGGTCTTCACTCACGAGACATTATCAGTACAGATAGAAGTTGTGACTTGTCTGTTAGCATCCTCACAAGAACATTTATGATTACCTGTATAAATCACTCTGTACAAGTCACATTTCAAAAAGGCCTGTAAAAACATTGAGTCACAAAAGTCTCAGCAAATTTGTAGATCTTACCTTTTTCTTGTTTTAATCTATAAAATCAGGAGGGTTGGTACAGGTGATCTACAGCACAGGATATCCATCCAGTTTGAACATATTATGATTCCTTCATCTTCACTTTAGAAAATAACCAAGTTACTTTCTTTTTGAAGTCTAGGGAGCAACTGGTGGGGCTGTGCTTGTTCCTATTCTAATCAGAACTTTCTAGAAGTAAGCTTTCATCTCTCAGTACACAGAAGCTATGGGAATGATCCTAGAAAGAGTTGTTCTTTGTTTCTGTTCCTAGTTAGATATAGGCACCAATGATCTTGGTACATATAACCAAACACACTTTAGTTATTTCATCACCTATAATTACATTTTCATAAAAAATTAGGAAATGTAATATCTTTTTTCATTTATTTATTTATGTATGTATGTATTTATTTTACTAGGGAACAGTGTGTCTTTTTCCAGGAACCATCAGCTCCAAGTCAAGTAGTTGTTTCAATCAATAATATTTGTGGAGGGTGCAGCTCAGTGGCCCATGTGGGGATCGAACTGGCAACCTCGGTGTTATCAGCACTGCGCTCTAACCAACTGAGCTAACCAGCTGCCCCAGGAAATGTAATACCTTATAAGCATGAATTCAAAAGGTAAAACTGATCCAAGAAGGCAGGCAACTGCACACAAAAGAAACTTCTCTTACTTTTTAGTCTTGGTAATATTTGTGCATTTCCCTGAATAAGACTTTTTCAGAATTGTTTTTCCCTTTTGCTTTCTCCCTTGGGGAGCACAGTTCAGTGGCCACAGAATTATTATTAAACTATAATTTTCCTAACCTCTGTGCAAATGAAATTAACATGCAAATTGAAGGTTAATTTATTAATTGTATGGAAATATATGTAATGAAGGATGAAGATTAAGGTGTAGCATTTACAAGATTTATGCAGAATATTAACCTTTCAAATTAGTCATATTCACATCTCCATTCACATTGTCCTTAAGAATTTATTGGCTGCAGCCGTTAAATTCTCCATGTAGTTTGTACATTTCATTGAAGGCCAAGGCCAAGGGGAATATTTTTCTAATGAGGTCTCTCCTCACTCATATTAATTTTAATTAACTGAAAATTGTTTAATTATAAAAATAATACATACTCATTTCTTTTAAAAAGCAATCTCAGAGTGTCTAAAAATAAAAAGTAAAAAGTCCTGCTGCTTTTTCCCTCAGGAAGAATCGCTTTTAACATTCAGTGTGTGTCTTCTAGACAATTTTTTTCTAGGGAAGCATGCACCCACACATATACTCACACACACACATCAAACACTTTTGTACAAACATTCTTCCTTGTAAGCCTGGGTGCCTCATTCTTTGTGAATGTTAGATAAAATTCTAATCCTGTATTTTCTATAATCTAAAAATCCCTCACAACAGCCCATTTTTAATTTTGGTGTATAATTAACATTCCTATTCGTATTCCTAACAGGATGGATCCTTAGGAATGATCTGCTAACTCAAAGGAATGCACATTTACATTCTAATAGACACTTCAAAATGTCCTGCCCCAAATGGCTTCCCCCCGCCCCCACTCAATGAAGCCATTACATGTATTTACTGGGCTGAAACTTCAGGCCCCTTTTTACTATGTACACACACACTCACCTGCACACTCGGAGTGCACACGTCATAGAAGTTTGAAGATTCCTCCTGAGATTTTAAAATTTAGATATATATGCCCTGCTTCACACAGATTATGTTATGATACACCATTTACCTTATTTGTCAGAAGATTGTTTTTATCATACACATCTGTATAGTGTTTATAATCAGGGTATAAGTTTTTCACAGCTTCAACTTCATCAGGAGTTTCACTTATATGACTCTACAAAGAAAGAAATAATATTTTCAATTTTTTAATGTAAAATGCCATTAGAAATTAAACTTCCTACCCCCAAATGAAATGGATGGTTTCTACTTGCCTAAGCGAGGGGCCACATAGAAAGACAATGAAGGTTGTACATGTGTTTTATTTAAAACAATTCTATATCATGTATATAACATATATATGACAAAGAAACTATGAATAGGTAATTACACAAACATGTAATGTTCTAACCCATGTAATGCTCTTCCAAAAAAAGTCTTTTCAAATTCCAAACTATACCAAGAACAAAAATCAAAAGTATTCCTTGAAGAGTTAAGAGTCTAGCTAGTTATGGCCACCTATCTCCTCTGGTGGCTGTTTAAGAAAAGAGTTCAGGGGACATCAAAAGAACAGATAGCATGGTTCATTCATAAGAAAACTGGAATTTGAATAAAGAGCTGAATTTTAGCTCAAGTTCTGACCCTATATAGGTGTCCTAGGGCAAATTAATTCTTTCCTTTGGGGCTCTATTTTCTTATCTCTCAAATAAAAGGGTTGGGCTAGATGAGTGATTTTCCAAGTTATTTTAACTTTGGAAATGTTATTCTGATAAAAATTGATAGAAATCCAGTATGCAAAAGGCATAAACAAATTGCCTCTCAGGAGGAAGCAGAGTTGGGACTCTGGGGCCCCGTCCCCATTCTGTCCCCCCTTTTTGGCTCCCAGAATGAGCTCTTCTGCAGACAACAGTTTGAAAATAACTGAGCAAGACAATCCTGCAGTCACCAAGAAGCCCATAAGAATCCACATTCAAGCAAAACAAGTGAGGCCGGGCCCCCACACCAACCTTTCTCCAGGGCACCACAAAAGGAGAGAAGGCATAAAGCGTTTTTGAGACACAACACTTAAGGAGACCAATCCCTCGCCTAAAATAAAAATCATTTCAGACCACTGGTGGTAAATATATATTATGGGAAATAACTCATGAGCAAGTTACCATTTCCAAAAAACGGCAACGCTGGTTCCCTCTCCCCATGAGAGGGAAAATAGCAATGTTCTAAAAACAGAGTGTTCCAGGATGAGCTCTATCCCTGGCCTTGAGGAAATCCCAGACCACTGAAGAAACACATGGGCATCAGAAGAGAAGAAAGGAAAACCAGATGATTATGTCATTTTGATAAATTTGGGTAAATTCACATACACACATCCACCCACAGCAAGGATATACTTGATTTTGTTGTGTGTTCATGGGGTTCACGACATACTATCCCAAAATATGGCATCTTGGCATATCGAATGTATGCTATATTAAGCTGAAGGAGTTTGAGAAAATGACAGAATCAGGAAGGTCACTCTGACATTACCCCCTCCCTTCTCCCTTAAAACAGATCATAAAACCCACATGTGAGAGGTGTCTGCCCTATACTTAGAAATAAGGGGCATCCTTATCTCTGAAGTCAAAGGGACGTCCAGAAGAATCCAAACAAACAGGCCTTGCCAAATTTCCCCCAGTTACTATGCTGACCTCATATTCCTTAACCTATCATATTCCTCCACGATTGTGGACTCCTCATCCAACCCAGGAAACATACTCAGGTCTAACTGTTTGTCCGGGTTTTCATTTCTGTATGAAGGCTCCTGTGTCATGCAAAATTGACATTAAATATATTTGCATGCTTTGTTCCTGTTAATCTATTTTTGGCATTTCAGTTTTCAGACGCAGACAGTGACCCTAAGAAGGTCGAGGAAAACTTTTTCCTCTGCTACAATTGTGTGGGATTGAATCAAAAATTTAAATATCACACTGCAAAGAAAGAAAGAAAAGAAAAGAGCAAAAGATGAGAATAGTTAATGAGCCCTAACAAGATAAATCTTTAAAATAAAAACAGCCTCCACCTTACAAATGATAAAGAATCAATGTGTTACCCGTCTCCCGACTTGCCCTTTGTTATAAGATAGTCAACTCTTAAGAGGGGAAATTTTAGTGCGGTACTTAATAAAGCTTGGATGGGGGGAGGGGAGCTTCCAACTCCCAATTTTAACCCAGCTGGAAGCTTTAAAAAGTGTTTCATCCCTAAATTGCAACTGCTTAATGACAAAGTAAGATATACTTTTTTGTTCCTGATTTTAAATTAAGAAACTTGGAACAAAAGGGCTTTTAAATGCATTTTGTAAAAGTGGAAACTAGGTTCTTATTGCTTTTCAAATAATAGGTGGTTCCTTCAAAAACGAAGGACTAGAAGGCTGAGCAAATATCAAATAAAAGAGAAGTAGGAAAGAAATACATTAAATGTACCCTATGGAGAACAGGTCCCCAGTTTGTCACTGATCTTATTTGGTTACTTACGCTGCCCTGATCTCTCCAAGCCTGATCAGAGACAACTGAGAGTAAAAAGAACTTTAGGTTTCTTACCTAAAAAACTCATGAACTGGACCTAGGTGATGCCTGTAAGGGCCCTCCCTGTCTCATGATGCTATACAACTAGGAGATCTCAGTAGAAGAACTAGAAATTACTGCCAGAATTTAGGGTACTGGGAAGTCTTGCAGGTCTGGACAGAGGCACAAACAGGAGAAAACTACCCACCTGAATGTGCAAATCATGGGTCTTCGCGATCTTTCCAAGTTCACACATCAAAGTCTCAGAGCAGGAAAGGGAAAAACGTGGTGTCACTATGGGCTTCACTCTAGAATACTGGAAATAATAAAAAACAGTTGATAAGGAAACTATGGATATCATGAATGTACAGCATACCTCCAAGTGCATGTCATACAAGAAGATGATTTTATGTTTTCATTTCTGGGGATAGTCCCCGTTTCCAAGAGTGGGGAGAAGTGCTGGGTTTCATGGAAATGGCTCATGGCTGAGCACACAGGAGAGTACGCTCTGTAGCACAAGTTCAGTGGAAGAAGATCTTATGCCAAATGATAGCCACTCTCTGCTTTACAACCATGTGAAGGCTCAGATGAGGCCTACTCTCATTGGAGGGGCCTTTATGAAGAGAATTGAGAGGGAGAACGAGAAGTTTTAAAGGAGGGTGCTGGGGAGACTAAAAGTGAGGTGGTGGCCTCTTCTACTTTCTAGATCTTGAGGCAGTTTGCTGGAGAACTGTGTAGTTGCAGAATTTTGCCCTGAAATCATCCAAGGTGAAGGGCCAAGCAGGAAAGAAGAATTCATAGAGGGATGGTGAGACTAAGGATCCAGAAAGCTCCACCTAGGTCTCCCAAGATTAGATTGAAAGAAATTCTGAGGTTTCCTATGGTTTCCGATCAGATCTCAAAAGATGGGAAGGGAAGGGTTTGGCTTGCCAATCTAAGAGATTGTACCATGGAGCCACCAAGCAGCCTGCTGGGGATCGTGGCAGGACACAGCCCCGCCTCCACAGGCTCACCAACCCCAGGGCTGGCTGAGTGCCTGTAGGCCCTGTGACATGCACAAATAGATGGACCAAAGCAGCCTGTGGCGGGGTCATCAGGGCTGGACAGTACCTGTGTGTCATACCAGATCAGGGAGTACAAGAGGCCAGAGTCAATATTAACGTCGCCAACAAACAGTGCCTCCATTTCCAATTGCCACCAATCTGTCCAGATCCATGAAGCCCTCCCCAACCTCCCCAGAGACCCATCCTGTGAAACGAGAAGGTGCCGGAGGAGAGGAAGAGAAAACCACTGAGAAAGCAAAACATGCCTGACCTCACTGAGCCGAGTTGACAGGTCCACTGCGAAAACAAGTTAAGGCTCTAGGAAAATACTTCTGCGTGCATGGAATAAGCCAAATGTCCACAGATTAATCTCTGCCAAACACCTTAATACCAAACCCTACAACTAAGACAAAGGCAATCCCAAAACAAGTCGGGGACAAGTTTACTTACGTTCTTTTGGATCATTTCTGACACAAATCTGAAACAAAGAAACAGATGGGAAGTTAGGAAACGTCGGCATTTTCAAGTAAAATTTTTGAAAGGGTGAAAACACGATCCTTCCATGCCCTACTTTTCATGCAAACATTTCTAACACTGCACATGTTTCACCACTACTAATTAAAGATTAACAAGTAGTAATTACTCTGCTTTCTTATTTGCAGCCAGAGAGAGAGAGTGCAAAATCACAGGGAAATGCAATTTTGTCATCTAATATCAGCTGGGCTATGTACATGTATTCCTGCAGCACTCAAGCTTAAGCTCTGTTTGGGGGAAGATTGCACTATGTTATGCTCCTGAGTCCTGGTCTGTGCACTCAGAGGGATTCAGAGGCCATGGGGCTCCAAATTTATCTCAAGTGAAAGCTACTTGCTCACACAAGACCATCACTTATTACCAAAAGCAGAGTCCCAGTGGGCCTGGATGATGGAATGAGGTGGCTGTGAAAGGGCCCGGTGATGGCAGGTGGTGGTCTTACCAATTCTACCTGTAAGATTGGTGCTGTCTCTATGGCCTAGGAAATGGCTAATTCTGCCCTGGCTGGAAGTATTGACTAGCTGTAGCTTCCTGCCTTCTGGTATTCTTTTGTTTCAGAATCAAATGTAAATTAAGGTTTACTCTGACCATACACACAAATTGGTAGAAAAGTAGAGCAGATAGTCCATGCTGACTGTCTGGGAGCACACAGCAGCCCCTAAGCCACCCTTTTCAGATGACACACTTAAGGTGAAAGAGGCCTGAGGACTAAAGAAAAGTCGGACTTCTAAAATTTGCATCAGGAGATGTTTGGTCTTGAGCAAGATTTAAATCTAAAGAAATTTCTTCTACATATATCTTTTGAATGTCGAGTGACATGCAACACAGTTCCTTGTCAAATCCTCATAGCACCATGGAAAAACCATTCAAGAAATGTAGGACAAGTACTTATAGGATCAGTAGAGTACCCCAACGTAAGATAAAAAGCTCAAACCCAGGCTGTGCAAGAGTTAACTGTAATTTAGTGAGCAGGCCACACATACTTAAAGCAAATGCAACCTACTGATCTGGAGAAGCCCAGATTTATAATAAAAGGGAGGGAGAGCATAAATCATTTACTTTAAAAAAAAATCCATCATTTTACAAAGGGGTTACCCTAGGACTCTTATCACAAGCTCCCAGAGGCTTTAAACATATAATTTGATATACAAATATAGTATTGGCATGCATTTTTTTAGGACCAGGTAACTTTCACAAAGTTGGGCAAACCCACACCGTGACATATGTGTACATCTCACCTGATTCAGAGATGAACCTCCCTGCATCTCCAACGCCATCGGTGCAGCAGAGGCACCATCCACAAGACAAATCAAGGCAAACATACCTCTGCGTTTCACTGATTGACTCCTCAGTGGTTTCCTTGTATTCTGGGACAGTGTTATTCAGGTCCATGCACACTTTGCCCACAAACGCCCGCTGCCCAAATTTATCTGTGAGGCACAACAAAAAGCATCTCAAGTCATGTTTCTTTTCCACACAGTACCTTTTCTGAGCCTTTTAAAAACATGTTTAAATAAAATCATTATGAAAACATAAGTGAGAATGTGAAAGATTATCCATCATCACACCACTTAAGAACAGTAACAATGAAACCCCGCTAAATTCCCTAAGTAGTAAATATTTTTCCATCACTTCAACCACTACCTCCCCCACCCTAACTCCCAGGCTGGCCAGGTAATAATTAAGTGTTTTTTACTGATTTTTCAGCTTTTCCCTTTGCTAATACAATTTGTCTGTATTTTTACTCATCATAACTATCCTTGTTTCCATTCTATTGCATGCAAAGAGAGGGGACAGCCTGAGTCCTGGTAAACACTCTATCAGACCTCGACATATCTACACCTTGTTTCTTCTTTCTTCCTTCTCATCTTTCCCACAACTCACAATCTCCCTGCTGTTTCCTACTCTCCCACTGTTCCATGGATAGAGTCCCTCTCGATACTCTTCCTCTGTTCTACAGGTGAAGTAGCATGGTCTAGTGATAAGAAAATGGGCCCTGGAGTTCGACAGACTTGGTTGGATTGGACTCCTTATTCCTCTGATTACTTCTAGATGGTGGACATTATTTGTTGAAGGTCGAAACCTGTATGTGGCCAGTGTCCTCCGCTATGCGCAGGGTTACGAGAAATATACCCAGTAATGTATATCAAGTGTCTGGCACAGAAAGCTTAGAATAGATACTTATTCTTAACTGTAGCAATCCCAATATTATTTTCTGGGAAGAATTTTATTTAGTCCTACTAGCAGCTCTCAGCACTAAAGAAAACCTAGTCCTCCTTAGAGGTGCTACAGGAATTCTATTGCAGCTAGAAAGTTGAATCTACACTGGGCAGTGTTAATTTTTTCCCCCCAGTCTCCACCTCTGTCATAAGAATCTTTCAGAAGTCTTTCTGCCTCTCTCTTTCCCTATAATTCATTTTAATAACTGGCCATCAGATAACTCTTCCTTAAAGCACCAACTTCATCACATACCTCACAGGGCTCAAATTTTTTATTGAGGTTTTGATGGATATGCAAATCTCTCCACAGTCTGAACCATCCCACCTGCCTCCTCCCTCTGACTCCCCACCCCATGCAATGAGTCCTGTTCTCCAGCTTCAGCTTCTCAGCTCCCTGCTTCCCGTGCTACCACAGACACTCCTGTCCCCATCCCTCTGTCCATGTCATTTTCCCTGTCTGAAGGACATTTTCCTCGCTCCCTATTTTATCTTCCCTTCAAAGCCTAGTTTTAAGATCCCTTCCACGAAGTCTTCCCAGATGATCCAGTTGTGGGCTCTCTCTGTCTCCTCCAAAAACGACAATAGTTATTTTCAGTGTCACCCTTCAGGCCTTTGGCATAAACTGCCTTGGTCAGTAAGCAGTAGCGTCAGTACATCAGCCAACAGCATTTACTGATCACCTGCTCTGTGCTAGACACTCTATTGGGTACAAGGTTTAGAATCATCAACCTAAATCAAGACCCAGTGCTGCTTACTAGCTTTGTCCCTGGGGCATGTTACATAACCTCTCTGAGCATCAGTTTATCCATCTGTAACATGAGGACACTAACAACTATCTCAGAAGGCTATTTGCATGCTGAGCTGAGCTAATCCCTGTAGAGCGCTTTACACGATACCAGACATCTTAGTAAGAGCACTATAGCTGTTCCTAACGTTATTAATCAATGTGCATAGTTATTAATCAACTAGTCCTGTCTGGCTCCTCAAGGGCAGTGATGTGTTCTGTTTCATTGTATTCCTAGCATCTAGCACAGTGCCCTGAGGCTGACCGACAGCCAAGATATGTCTGTTGAATAATAATAAACTGTTGCCATCACTAGAATTAATAAATCTGCTCCCCAAAGCCCTAAATTAATACACAAAATTCAAACTCATACAGATTATGCTGAAACCAAAAACCATAAGTAAATAATCAAATTACTTAAACAGTAAAACACATTCAAGGGCCACAGTAATTCACAGACACCTAATTTCTTGCAAGAAATGCCATGCTCAGATTCTACCAATTACAAAGCAGGACTGCCCACAAGTATAAGCCCCCGCCAGACATGGTCTGGCTGGCTTTGCTTGATGTGCCCTACATCACGCTTTCATCTCCTCACCTGTAATTTCCGCAAGGAGCAGAGATGAGTCAGTGTGAATTGTTCCAAAGTAACAAGCTGTGGTTGTTCCATTCTTTAGTGTTCTCCGCTAAAAATAAATCACAAAAACACCGAATCACGTGTGCCCAGAATGTCACATGGCATAGAAAGATGAAAACAGAATTCTCGTTTTCAATTTTAAAATGTTTTTATTTCAAGGTATGCCATCTTGATATGAAATACAGTTAAGGCAAATGGCAAAAGTATTGATATCCCAAAAGTGTGAGCTAGAGAAGTTGATACTTTTGATATCCTCGATTCATACAGCTCTGTGTTGCAGAATTCATAAAACGTTGATACCAATTAATTCCTTATGTTTTAAGTTTGTTTAAGAATATGCAAACTTTATTGCATCTGGGGGGTGAGTGAATAAATGAGATTTTTCTATCTATAACAGGGTAAATTTATTCAGCCAGATTTCTAGTTCAACCTGGCAAATTGGTCACATGTGTCTATCTCTCTTCCTTAGCAAATTTCCACTAAAATAACAGTAAAGGAGTACAAAATTTATTAACCAACAAGAAGAACATGAGAAGAGACATGAATAGAAGAAACATTTCAACATCTTCTTGGAAGACAAAGAATATGGACGAGAACCTGAAAGCAACTTAGAGAGAGAGAGAAGCATGTGGCTGTTAACCAGGAATGGGCTCAGCCAACCACCCCTAACCTGTTCCTTACAAGAAGGATTTACTCTTTGTAGAAACTGGAGAGTAGTTAAAGGATACAAGCCTCAAAGGACAAGATGAGGCATGGGCTGAAAGTAAGTGGTTTAAAAGAAAATCTGTCTCACCTCCAGGGCCCCCTGTCATCATGCCCAGAATGACACATGTACTATTCCCACCACTCCTGGCAGGACAGAAGGACTCTTTCCTAGGGAAGATGAGTGGCTCTAGAAGAAATATGTCTTCACAATGACATGTGGAGAAATGAAAAGGCTGTTCACTGCATCACTGTTCATCCTGTGATGAAGTTCACCAGTCAACAAGTGCTACCGCCCCCACCTAGACCTTCCAACTGGCAACTCAGAGCATCACTCTTACACATGAATGTATGCTCAAGGTTCAACAGAAACTGGAGGAGATCTGCTATGAAAAGGAAAAGGGAGAAGAAAAAGTCTGGAAAAAATCTTAGAAGAAACAGGCAACCTGTAGGGTCAGAAGAAAACACAATTGAAAAACAAAAACTATGATGAACATTCTCAAAAAAATAAAAGAAGCTATCACAGCCACAAAACAAGAACAGAATGCTATGAAAATCAAGAACAAGCGCTCTACAAAAGTAAAAAGTTTACAAGTGAAATTTGGAAGTCAATAGAAGGGTTGTAGATAAATTAAAAGGGAATCCCTCAGGAGGAAAAACAAAAACAAACTTTAAAATGTAAATAATGGAGAAGATCATGCCCTATGTCAGACAGCAGCCTCTACTTTACCACAGCCAATTGCCAAAAAAAGCAAATGAAAGCCCAGTGGTGTCAGTGAGTCCCAGATGTCCAGAGAATTTGAAAATCTGGATTTTTACGTCAATATTTTCAAATTTTAAGACACTTTGCACATGAAATAAAATACACCTGGTTGTTGATAGAAGATGATTAGAGCCAGTCAGCTATGGACAAGGATGAACTTGCTCTCAGAATCACAAGTCCAGGAGAAAAGCTAATACCACCACAGAGACATTGAATTCAATCTCTGGCAACTATGAAAATGCCCAGATCCTAGGGTGGGCTCAGTAAATATTTATTGAATGAACACCTGAGGGAGCAGAATTACTAAGCAACAAGTGACATAAAATGAACTAAAATTAGCATCCTTAGATGAATAGGATAAGGCATTATAATCCTTGAAAGAGGAAGAGGCTATTATAACAGTAAGAGTGAATTAATGACTTGCAAAATTGGGCCACAGCATTCTTTAAGAATGTAATACAGAAGTATATATGGAACTTTCCACATTTTTCTAATAGGAGTTACCAAAAAAAAAAGAGTAGATTGGAGGGAAGAATATACTCAAAGGAAAGAGAGAGAAATAAATTTCTCAGAATGGAAGAACGGCAGGAGTTCTCATATCGAATGAACTACATATTCAAGAGGATGAACTGAAAAATCAGATCTCTAAGTGAAATTTCAGAACATCGAGAATGAAGAGAAAATCATGAAGGCCAGCAAATTAGCCAGAATGGGAATCAGATTAACATCAGTACATTGAATGCTTATAGACAAATATTTTCAAATAGAATTCTTTCTCCAGAGGAGGCACCAGAGTCAGAACAAAGTAAAACCACTTTTGGTAATTCAAGAATTTGGAATGTTTACCACCTGCTTTATCAAAAAGGATTATCAGAGGCTATAGTCCAAGAAAATGAAAAATGAATCCAAAAGGAAGACAGGGAATCCAAATAGCAAAAGAAAAAGTAAAGTTCCGTGTTAAATTAATTGCAGATGTTGAAAAATAACAAAGTGGAATTAATTTTAAAATATTAAATTTAAAAGTTAAAACGTATTTTAAATTAAGTGTCGATGGTGAAAAAAATAAACTAAAACCTCAGATAATATAACACAGAACATGGAGTGGGAAGGGTTATAGCATAAAGAAGAGAAGGACATCTAGGTTTCTTGTCTTGTTAGATGGGAGAATACAGGGGACAATGACAGAAGACTTGTCTAACACTTTTAACAACTTAATCCAATAGAGATATAAAAAAAGTCACATCGACAGAGGAAACACAACCTTTTAAAAAATGTGCAGAAATATCTACCTTTTGTTAGGTCATAAAATAACTAATTCCCCCAAAAAATAATCACAGAAGTTACATTTACTACCTGGAATAAAATGAAACTCAAAATTAAAACAGAAGCATAGCACTGAATAATACTGTACGTCAACTATAATTGAATATATATATATATATATAGTGACGGGCTGTGGAGTAGTATGGGAGTGGAGTCAGTGGAATTGTAATAGATATGTATGATGTGGGAGGGGGAAATGGATGGGGGAGGGGGGTTGTCACATTGTGAGGGGTAAAGTGTATATAACCATTACATTGTTTTGTACACCTGAAACTAATAAATAATTTTTAAAAACCCCAGAAGCATAATCGAACATTCTTTAAGTTCTCAAACTTTTAAACACCCTTCTAAAATCTGGGCTTGAAGATGAAATCAAAATGGAAAATTTCTGCTAGTTAGCAACGAGGACAATGGAAGTGCAATGCGGACACCGACAGCAGGTCCATCCTCTGAGTCATGGGAGCAAAGCTTCTCATCCGGAAAAGTTTCTTCTGGATGAGAAATTGCAGTTCAAATGGGACTGCAACAAACTAGAAAGACTAGAAATTTCAAGAATCTGCCCAAATTATAGTTACAGGGAGAGCCCACAGAGGAGAAAACAAAACCAAAAAAAAAAAGAAAAAAGAAACAGAAGAAGGAAAGGAGGGGAAAAAGGAAGTAAAGGACTCCTGAAGCTATTCCTTTTGGTTCCCAGAGTTCAGCCCATTTAACGAGCCAGCTACATGCGTGTGACTTATGTAATTGAAAACAAAATAAGAGCTAGGCTTAAAAATCTTACTAGACAGGCCATCTAAGGTGCAAGTGTACTTTCCTTCTTTGGATGTTCTATGTTTGGGTTCCCCAGGCCCCTATTCTACCCTATTTTCTTATAAGATTTACAAAGGGATCTTCCATTAATGACAATTTTGTATTTTTCCCATTTACAATGAAATCTATCAGGAACAGCATCAAACTGTTGGCTGGATTTCCCAAACTTTCCTCAGCCTTCAATTCTTGACAAAAAGGATTTTGAGGCCAAACTTTTTGAGCTCAATATTTTGAATCCAAATTTAAGCTGACAATGAGCTTCAAGACCAGTAAACCAACAGTCTCTTCACAGATTAGGTCATTTCCATGAGCTGAAGTAGGGGGAAGAGTGGTCTGACTCCCTGTCTTTCCACCTTGTCATTTAATGACTTTAGACCTTTGGAATTAGTCATGTGCCAAATCTCTGACACCCCCATGGAGTGAGCATATTCGTTCTTATTATGCAGGAGAATATTTACAACTAGTGTGTCGCGGCACATTCACCAAGAATCCCACTCTCCAGTCCTCGGACTGTAATCTGTGTAACACATACGGATGATGTATGATAAACTGTACACTAGAAACCTATATAATTTTATTAACCAATATCACCCCAATACATTTAATGAAACAATTAAAACTGAAAAAATTCGTATACAGATTCCTGAACTTTCTACTCTTTTCAGTTCATTCCAGTCCAATTTAAAACTGCAACCTCTCACCCAGCTTGCAGTGTTTAAAGGGAGACAGTCCAGGATTGACTTACTGGGATTTTTCCTTAATAATCTCAGGAGATATTTGCTAATGTATACTCTAAATTATTTGCAGGTTGACTTAGCACTGCCAAAATCTGTGGTGCAAAACTCTGGGGTCTTGATTGCCCATATGTTGAAATACAGATCAAGGACTATTTTCGGAGAGAGAAAATCAAAAACAAAAATGTCTTGGTTCTATTCATGGGTACTGCCTTAGTACCCCCTTGCATTGCCCTGGGTAGTCTTCAGTCTAGAGACAGGCTCTAGTTCGCAAATCTCAACTTTCTGAAATAGCTGTCAACCATACCCTTGGCTCATGCAGCTCTTCAAATGTGTGGGCCTGCTCATAATAAAAAACATAGGATGTGTGCACTGCAAATATTTGTCAAGAATAACACCTATTTTGTATATAATACTTAACTAAACTCTGATTTGAAATGCTATTTATGGAGTGTGGCCTGAAGGATACATAGTTCTAGGTACTCTCTCAAAACATAAAAGATATATCTGGGCTTTTTGATACTATACAGCACTTTGACAATATAGATTTTGACAACATAGCATGTAACTATACCAAAATACTCAGGTTAATTTCCTTACATTTCAGTAGAAAGAACAGATATGCTTTATCTTAACAAATGTTTTTTTTTATCATACACACAGTGTACATTTTAAAGTTGATTTCCCTCTCTGGGTCAGCAGGTGGGCAATTAAAGCCACATTTGTGACAAATCTAACAAGTGCGTGGACCCCCATGGCATACGTTTACTTCTTGGTTTTATTTTATTTTTCCTCCTCCCTTTTTTTCCTTTGCTGTGATTTTATGACTCATTTTCTTCTGTTGGATACTATGCAATTTTAAGATATCTCAAACCCTTTTTAGATAATACAAAGTATAAATAAAATTTGAAGATAAAAAGATCTGGTGTGGTTAACACAGCTCATTAACACAATGCACCAGCCATTTCATACACAGCTTTAGTCCTTCTCAGTTTTTCTGGTGTTATGTGGATGCATGCTAAATATGTAAGATCCACAATTACACTGAATTTATAATTAAGTGAGGCAAGTGTATAAATGATAGCACTTGCTTTTATTCTTCAAGGCTTGAACAATGCAAGACCAGGGAACCTGGCAGGGTGACTGGTCACTATATAAGGCTTATAATATTGTCATCATCACATAGCCTTCACTTTAGGAGAAAAACCATCAATGGGCCCAACAAAAAGGCAGGCATGTTCAGATGAAGTGTGCTGAATGATAAGTAGTAGTCAGCGAAGATGGTATTTGCAGCTTTAATTCTCAACTGCAGAAGCTGTGTCTGGTTGCTGCGTGGATTGGGCATAGGGTTGGGGTAGAAAGAAGGAACTGATTTCTTGAGGTAGTGGAAGGAAGAACATTTTCAGAGCCTTCAACGTAAGAGTTGGCACACACTACATCCACTGTCCAAAGACTGAACTAGCCCCCATAGTGCCCTCTAGTGGTGTTAATGCTCATCACACTCCCAAATGCCCTGAAATAGGGGACCTTTCTATTTCCCCTTCCTGCGAAGCTACCAAAATAACATTACATCCTTCTAACTGTAATTTGAAATTGGGAATTTCCTTGGGTATTTTTGTAAAGCAAACACATAGGGCACTTACCACGCGTCAGGCACTATTCTAAGAACCTCACAAATATTAACTTGCTTAATTATCATAACAATCCTATGAAATAGATATTATCCTTATCTCTATTTTTTTACAGATGGGGAAGATGAGTCGCAGAACTTTCCAAAGGTTTCACAGCTATTCCATATGGTCTCCAGAACAGGACTGTGGATTGGCAGGAGTAAGGGAACACACATATGCATTAAAGCCAAATTTAGTCAAGTAAAACACAAACAGGAAAAGAGCATCACGAGAGCCCACCAGCCTGGGGATTTGGGATTTTGGACCCAAGTTCTCTCTCTCTCCCGGTGACTAGCTGTGTTGGTGAGATGGACACAAACTCACTGGAAAGAACTAAAGAAATCTCTATAGTCTATTGTAGCCTGGACTGTCTGTGTTTTATACTTAAAAATTGCCCAAAGAAATGAATGTTTCTCCAGGTGACCAAACCAAGTACACCGATACTCACACGCAGGATACTTACGACAACTTTGGTGTACACTTCCTCGGCAAAGTCAGTGCTCTTGAATCTGTGTTCTGTAGGGAATGTGTAGGTGGTCAGCCACTCCAGCAGAGGGAGGTCTACGTTACTCCCGGCAAAGAAATACTGAGGCGCATGGATGTGTGTATCCACCAGCCCGGGCATGAAGAACTCACTAAGAGGGGAGGAAAAGAATTTAATAGCATTCTTAGTCATTTTCCATATCTTTTAAATCATGTTTTCTCTCACCAATGATTTAATTGTTCACCCCTTATAGATTTAGAGTGGATGCCATCAGACGACTACATTCTCCTATTATTTAGAGATCAAGAAGTGAAAAGGGAGCTCTGCTAAGTCAGCTACAGCTCCTAAGTTGGAATGGCTGGAGTGAGGTTAACTGCCGCCGATGAAGCAAGGAAAAAGCACAGCGTTGGGCAGAGGCAAGGCAGTCATAGCACACGACAGGAGTGAAGCTATGTTTTCATTCCATGACTTTGTTCTCACAATTGGGGGGTTGTAAGACAGGAGATCTTCAAATCTTCTAGAGCTGTGCTGAGGAATTACGCGGCAGTTACTTAGGATGACTGTAGATGAGAAGTAAGAGTGGTGGCAATGTTAGACCCAATGATCATCTTGACCTTGGCGGACGACGGGAAATCTAGTCCTTTCCCTGTGATGTAGGGGCTGAGCTCTGAAACAGAAGCAGCAAGAGGACACTGAGGCTGGTTAGGGACAGGCACTCTGAGGAGACAAGACTGTCACTGTGAGAGGTGTGAGTGGTTAAGTGAAGACAGAGCTGCCGTGCATGACAACCATTCTCTACGTGCTTCTGATCATTCTTGCTGTTACAATGATCCGCCAGTTAATTTTCACATTTCTATGAGTTCATAACGGAAAGTCCTAAAAATTTGTTTTTAAGAGTTTTCAGAGGCACGACCCACAGAATTGAGGCAGCCCAATGCTAACGGATACTTAAAGCTTTTTTAATGGTCTATTCCTATTCACTGGTCTCTATTAAGGGTTCAATGTCATCCAGATATTTGTTAAAAGATAGTATGCCCCACCACCACCTGAGTCAATATTAATTACATTTTTATATACATAAGGAACTCAAATTCAAAACTCGAGTTCAAGTTTTCTATGCCACCTCAATGGAAAACAAGTAATGACATGGGTATCTATAAATGCTTTATTTTTTAAAAAAATAAGAGCAAAAAATGTTGGTAATGATGATGGTGACTGCAAGTAATATTTACTGAAGATGCACAAGTACTGGACACTGGGCACAGCATTCCATGGGAACCATCTTATTTTATTTATATTTATATTTATATTATTATAGGGGTTTGGTATATACATTCTCGAATCAGACTGCCTGATTCTGAATTCAGGACCCACCATAAACCAGCAGAGGGATATTCAACATGTTAGTTAACCTCTCTATGGCTCAGTTTCCCCTAATATAAAATGCATAGGGCAGTTGTGAGGACTGAGTTAGCATGTATAAAAACAGTATTTAAATGATGGAAAGCACTCCAAAAATATTAGTTGTGATGATGATGTTATGCTCACAACAAACTTATAAAGTAGTATTGTCATCCTCACTTACATAAGAGTAAAACCGAAGCTCAGGAAATTTAAATAGCTTGAAACAAGTACTCACTCATCTAGTCAGCTCTGGAGCCTAGATTCAAACCCAGGTTGTTTGTCTGCAGACTCGGTGCTCTTGGTTACTACCCTCCATGTGACAGAGCTTTTAATTCACTCCAGAAATGAAGAGCAGTGATAACCACGAGCATGGCAAGGAGGCAGTGTTCAGTGGGACTACAATGTGCGGGCATGCAGAGAGGAAGGATGAAATACGGAGTCCTCTCAGCTATTAGTCACCGACCTCACCAGGATACTTCAGTCCTTCGGTCTTTTACTGTCTCCACCACCATAAAACAGAATGGCAGCGTGACTTCTTCATGTAGTTAAACTGTTCAATCAAATAATATTTCCCAAGTAGCTAATATGCTTAAGAAACTCAGCCAAGCTTTATAGGGAGTCCAAAGAGAAATAAGACATGTTCTTGTCCTCAAAGAGATTATACTGGGTTGTCAGAAAAGTCATGACGTATTTTTTCAATGTTTTTCATTTCAAAAATGCATCATGACTTTCCAGACAACTCAATAATCTAATTGAGGAGATCAAGGGTGAATGAGGGTGTGTGTGTGTGTGTGTGTGTGTGTGTGTGTGTGTGTGTGTGAGGGAGAGGAGGGGAAAGGGAAGGAGGAAAGGGGTGGGGGAGGAAGAGGAGGAGGAGGAGGAGGAGAAGGGAAAGAGATATGCAGATCTTGTCAAAAATTAGGGTTTTAGTGAGCAATTTCACACCTAGTAATTTACCCAAGTAAAATAAAACATGTTTTCAAAAAGGATTATACAAAAATGTTTATAGCAGTTTTATTCGTACTAGCCTCAAATTGAAAACAATCCAAATACCACAGGAAAGTAGATAAAAAAAACTGTGATATATTGATGCCATGAAATACTATTCAGCAACGAAAAAGGATGAATCACTGCTATACACAGCAATATGGATGCATCTCAAAAACATGATGATGAATGGAAAAATCTGGACACACGAGAGTACACACTGAGTTATTCATTTATATGACATTCAAAAGTAGGCAGAAGTAATCTATGTGATAGAAGTCAAACAGTAATTGCCTATGAAGGGCTGGAGACTGAGTGGAAGGGACACAAGGGAACTTTCTAGGGTGACAGGAATATTTTAAATCTTGATTGGTCTGTAGGTTACATAGGTATATATTTGTCAAAATGTATCAAATTATATACCTAAGATCTATGCATTTACTACATAAAAATGTTTCCTAAAAACAAAAGGGGGGGCGTTGAAAGAGTTTTGAATGTGCAACTTAGTGAATTAACATGTATTTGTTATTCTGTAGTGAAGAGGAAGGGAATCATGAGGGTGTTTGTTTCTTTGTTTTCTATTTTCTTTGGCAGAACTGTGACATATTAAACCTTGGGTTTAGAAGATCTGGTGGTGGTAGGCATGTGTGGGAAGACCCCCTTCAATCTCGCAAGAATGGATTTTTTTAAATAAAGAATATGGTGTTAGGAACAGAAAGGATGAGGATGAATACAAGAGAATTCATATTCTTTCACATCAAGAGAAAGAACTTGATCTTTCATTAGCTCTAGGAAGCAAAGGAGAGGAATGAGTCAAAGAGAGTCAGTTTTTGAGCATGTGAGGCTGAACGTATGACAGAAAGTCTGAGAATTTAGAAGGAAAGTCCATGTGGAGGGAAGAGGGATGTCATATTAAGTCTAGTGTCCAAGTACGACCTCCAAGTCTCTAAGAAGCAATCAGCAATGTGGGATAGGATGTCACAGAAGAGTTAAAGATGAGGTTTAGATTTTATAGTCTTTGGGTAGGTACCCCTAGGAATGGTGGTGCCAGAGATTTCTGTAGAAGAAAGAACAAAACTAAACCTTGAGCAGTCCCCTTGTTTAAAGAGTAAGACTGAGGAAGAGAAAGTAATGTCTGATCTAGGCCGAGTTACTGTCAGGAAGATAGAGAGGTGTCGAGGACAGAAATGAAGGGAGGGAATACAGGACAGTTACTAGTGTCAAAAAGTGCAAGACACAAAAAGTGCAAGGATGCGTGGCCTCAGGAAAGACCCTGAGAGCTCTCATTTCTAAGCAAAGACGTGGGAGATATTGAGTTTGCATGGATTCAGTCCTTCACTATGTAAGTATTTACTGAGTCTCTAGTGCCGTTTAATTACTATCCTAGGTGTTGAGGAGAGAGGCATGAATGTGAAAGACAAACGCTAGAGAAAGTACTAGAAAGACGGAGGGTTCCCTTTGAAAATATTTGAAAGTTGGACCGGTAATGTAGGGAGGAGTGAAAGCCACGCTTTGTTTACCACGTAGGGGAAACCCAAGCATGTTCTGAAGGTAGCAGAGGTAAATGAAGTAAAGGAAAAAATTCAGGGTGCAAAGTGTTCAGAAGCAACAGCACACTAGGGGTTTACTGCATCAGAAAGGTGACTTTCATCCAGAGAAGCTAATAACCCTTCCTAACGAAACAGGAAGCATTGTGAAATGCTTAGTAGTAGAAACATTCACACATTCAAGGTTCTAGTCCAGGACTTATTACAGATACCAGTACGTGCTAGAGTGTGGACTGTCAGAACTGCCCATGAGACGAGAAGTCCCTGAGCCCAACTACTCAGTTTACAGACAGAGCAAAAGGAAACTCGGGGATTGCCAGGCTCATTTGCAGATGTGCTGTTTGTTAGTGATCCAGCCACGATTAGAACTCAGTTCTCCGCTGAAGACCTCACTTACCGTTTAATCGTAGCCATCAGAAACTAAGCTGTAGGCAAAGCAGAGATGGGGCTTGGAAGCTGAAGCAGAAAAGGTTAAAAAAAAAAAGCTCTCCTTCTTTCTTTCCCCCTTCCTCTTTTCACTTTACTTAGTCATAATTCCTTTAGAAAATCTCCACTGCCCCCAGATGAAAACCATCAGCTTCATTCCAAACCTGCAGTGGCGGCCAGGCTGTATCCGAACCAGAGGAAAAGAGCAGTCTGTGCCCCTATGTACACTTACCAAAACTTCCACCCATCTTCTAACCAAGTGGAAAACCTTAATAAAAGCCATACGATCAATACATAAGACTGTTGACAGAGGTCTGAGTTACCCAGTCTGCTCACACACCAATGTCAACCCTCACCAACCTGCCCTGCAGGGTTTGCGATGGTCTCATGGGCCTGGGAGCCCCGAGATGTTTGAAAACAACTGTTTTGCTGCACAAAAAAGCAAGGGTGTGAAACCAACAACATCCTGTCTTTATTTAAAATTCTGGCATCTTGTTCATTGTGGATTTTTACGTTAATTTTTATTTTTAAAAATACTGCATTAAACTATTATTTATCTTGATTACTGAGATTTTTGCCCTCCCACCAGCCTTAAATTCTGTGCCCAAGGTGAATGCCTCACTCGCCTCACCCTAATCTTGGCCCTGCCAACCTCTCTATATGGTCCATGGCCACAATCTGACCCACTCCTATCAAAGCACTGCTCAGAGTTGTTACTTTAATTGGTTTTTAAAAATCCACATTGTGCTGAGATAGGCCTGTATGTGTAGATACATTGAATCTATTAAGTGAAGAGTAAAAGACATCATCTCCTGTGGTATTTTAATTCTGACTTAATATCTTATGTGTATGATATATGAATTACTTTGCATTTTAAATATGATTTTTCTTCAAAGACTTCAGTCTTCCACCAAAGTTTAAGTTTTTTTCTTACCTTACCACTTTGCGGTGTGTAGTGCTTACAGCTCCCTTGGTGTGTGCATTTGTTTGATGGATTAAATTCCAAAAGCTGCCTCATAAAGAGGGACAAAAGGATGTGAAGACCCACAGATGTGTTTGTCCTTCACCCCATCATCCAACCACTTCACTATCCTCCCCCTCTCTCCCAACCTCCATCTTATCCACTCCCAAGCCTTCTTTTAATCCCTCATCCCCAAGGCACATAAGCAGGTGACTATAAATGTCAGTTGTTCCTCAACATATATTCTCATGAAAATCTAGAGAGAGGAAGCAGACAGTAAGAGCAGAAGTCATTGGATTCATCTCCGCGCCCACTATCAGCATACATCCAAGCCCACAGAGAGGCAGCAGGGAGAGGGAAGGAGGTAGGAGATGTGAGTATAAATGCAAGTGCAAAAAAAAACTTTATGGCCAGTCGCCCCCTCTGTCCAGACTGCAGCCAGCCCCTCTGCCTCAAGGTCAGGGGTAATCTCCCATTTATGGATTTGCTGCAGGGGACTAGGTGTCCACACCACCAAAGACAATCCTTTTGCTGACAGTGAGGAGACAAGCTCAAAGAAGTAAAGTGGTTTGCTTTACAGCTAATAGCCACAAAGTTACAGCCTGAGGATTCATGCCAGGTGTTCTAATCCCTAGTTTAGTGTTTTTCTCACTACATGACTCTAAAGTCACTTCCTAGATTATAAAGATGTTTTTGGAATGAAAATGATTTCGATTGACCTTAGAAGTTTCATTGGCTTTGGAAACATACTTGGCCTGAAACAAGATAAAATCTGAGTTTAAGAAAAGTATTTCCATTGCCACCAAACAAATCAAGTAGGCTATGAAGAGACTGGGCCAATCACAGGAAACACATTTTGAACAAATATTAAAAACTACTGAATGTAGTTGAAACATAAAATTGCAGCTCAAATGCACGTCTGGAGGTAGGTTTTCCCTAAACGTGCTGTCAGTTATTGCTCCCCAAATCTCCCTCCTCTCCTCCCAATAGTTTATCTCTATCACGCTCCCTCTCTACCTCCTTTACAGAAAGTATCACAATCTATCACTGTCATGCTTATGTGTCTATGCACTTGTTTCTGCTCTGTGTTCCCCAGGGGTTGTAAACCCTATAAGATTGTGGAAGCTATTTTCACCTCAAGATCCCGGTTCTTGCACATAGTTAGCTCGACAAATATTTGCTAAAGAAATATATGAATGATGGCAGCCTCTAGTACTCAAAAGTTTCCGTTCTTCAGTTCCCTGTTCTCTAATTACCACCCCCTTCCCACTTCACACCTTAAAAAATGAAAAAAGGCTCTCTGTCTCTCAAGGCAGGTTTCTGATCATTTAGGATTAGTTAATGGCATTCAGAAAAAGGGAATCAATTGGCTATGACTTACTGTTGGCTCAGTTCTCTTATTTCACATGGCTTAAAGCACCATTCTTTGGCCAGCCTTTCTTCTTGAGATGCTTCTTCTAAAAACATTATCTTTAAAAGAAAGGGGGAAAAAAAGAATCACAAGTTAATGAGCCATAGTCACTTGTTATTAAATACATGAATCTTTTTTAAAAAGACACTATACTGTAGCTGAGTTAATGTTAAAAGGTATTTGATACCAAATAGGATCAAGTTTAAAGGCAGAGGTTTGGTTTTGGTTGTTCAAAAAAGTAAACTGCATGATGTTTCACCTTTTTTGCCATTCTATAGATATAAGCATGACTTCAAAAATTCTAATTTGAAGATACAAGGAATTAAAAATGGCAAATTGATATTTTTTTCTTCCCCACTCCCGAAAATATGGGAAACTCAAGTCCAGAGTACAGTGGTAGTGTGTCATGGCACAATTTATTAACACTGACTACGAATGCCCATAACTGGTCGACAATTGAGTCTTAGCATAAACTATGTCAGTGGTCTGATGCTAGACATCTGCTATATTCTAGTGCTGTGTATGAGACACGAACAGAGTATTAGACTCGTCTGAAGCCCCTGGGTCACAGCTGGGAAACCTCGGATGGGTCTCTTAATCTCTCTTGGTCTGGTTTCCTGTCTGCAAGCGGGGGTAGGAGGGGGTGTGGGGTGGGGGGTGGAGCGTAACACCAGTACACACTTCACAAGGCTATTGTGAGGCCTAAATATGACCATTTGAGTAAAGAAGTTAGCACATCCTTAGAACATGTTAAATGCTAGGTCTTTTAGACAACATACATCTGGTAAAAGTTCAACCCTGTATCCAACTGTCCCTTTTTCTAGGCTACACACAGTAGATGGCATACCCAATCATCAAGCTTGGGTGCTCCTATCAATGCCTGTGCTTGGCATCCTAAGACCTCTCTTTAACACTATGGTCTCTACATTCAATAAAGCTTACAGGAGATCTAACTGCTTATCCACTGACATATTAAAAATATTTTTTGGTGATAAATTAATATATAATTTTTATCAAATATCTCAGAAGGAATTCAATGACTTTAGAGATATTGCTATAACAAAACTCCTTCTACCCTCATCTGCTTGACTTATGTGAAAATAATTCTCAGCACTTACATCTATAAAAATAAAAAAAAATAAATAAGAAAAAGATTGATGGTGCTCCTATTTCATTCTACCAACCGGTAACACTAAATAACACTCATCTATAGATATATTAGCTAGTTGGAGGAAAAATGGCCTTTTAATTTTACATTTAATGAATCACCTTTCAAATGTGTAATACATGTTTTTAAATTTCCTTATGGTCCCAGGAAATTTTAAGAGTTTAAATTTATGTGCACAAATTTTATTGCAATGGTTGATCAATAAAAGACTTTCAAGTGTAAAACTATATTGCATTAGCACAACTCTGTAAGGAAAACAGAATAGAATTAGTAATTCAAGAAGAAAAAGGGACTGTATAGTATTTCAGATCATTAAAGAGGAACCAGATCATAATTTTTAAAAAAACAGATTAAGGTAGATATCACTATATTTTAATTCCACCAGATAGATTTACTTTTTTAAGTTGTTTTTTTTAAGACTGAAGTTTTTAAATTTTTTTTTATTTTTCGGTTACAGTTGACATTCAATATTATTTCAAGTTAGTTTCAGATATACAGCATAGAAGTTAGACATTTATATCATTTAAGAAGTGATCCCCTGATTAGTCTAGTATCCACCTGGAACTATACATAGTTATTACAATATTATTGACTTGTAAAATGAGCTTAGGAGCCTTTCTTCCTCTTGAATTTTTTGGAATAGTTTGAGAAGAACAGGTGTTAATTCTTCTTTGAATGTTTTGGTAAAATTTACCTGTGAAGCCATCTAGTCCAGGACTTTTTGTTTGTGGTAGTTTTTTGATTACTGATTCAATTTCATTTGTAGTAATTAGTTGTTTCAAATTTTCTTTTTCTTCTTGATTCAGTCTTAGGATTCTCTCTTTGTCTTTAGCCTTTGGCATTTTAATTATAATGTGTCTTGGTGTGGGCCTGTTTGTTTATCTTGTTTTGGGCTCTCTGCACTTCCTAGGCTTGTATATCTGTTTCCTTTGCCAGGTTATTTCTTCAAATAGGTTCTCAATCCCTTGCTCTCTCTCTTCTCCTTCTGCTACCCCTATGATGTGAATGTTATTACGCTTGATGTTGGCCCTTAAACTATCCTCATTTTGGGGGGTTCTTTTTTCTTTTTGCTGTTCTGATTGGGTGTTTTCTGCTACCTTGTCTTCCAAATTACTGATTGGATCCTCTGCTTCATCTAATCTTCTACTGATTTCTTCTAGTATTCTTCATTTCAGTTACCGTATTCTTCATTTGTGACTGGTTCTCTTTTATGGCTTCTATGTCCTTTTTTATGCTTACTATCTCTTTGTTGAAGTTCTCACTAAGTTCCTTGAGCATTCTTACAACTAGTGTTTTGAACTCTGTATCTGGTAGGTTACTTGCCTCCATTTCATTTAGTTCTTTTTCCCACTCATTTGGGATATGTTTCTTTGTTTCCTCATTTTGGCGGCCTCTCTGTGCTCATTTCTATGTATTAGGTAGATCTGCCACATCTTCCAGTCTTGGCTGGGTGGCCTTATATAGTAGGTGTCCTGTGTGACCCAGTGGCACAGTCACCCCAATCACCTGCACTGGGTGCTCCAGGAGTGTCCCTTGGGTGGATTGTGTGTGCCCTCCTGTTGTAGTTGAGCCTTGATTATTGTTGGCATGTCAATGGGGTAAGACTGACTCTCAGGCTGACTGGCTGTGAGGATTGGCCATGCCCACAGTGTTATGAGCTGCTGTGTGAGGGCTGACCCCACAAAATAGGATTTCCCCCAGTGGGTTCGTGTGCCTCAGTGCCCTCATGTGAGAAGCACTAGTCTAGGGACTAGGAACAATAAATTGATAGATGAGATATATCACATGTTGATGAATGCTATAATGAAAAATAAATGTAAATGAATGAACTAAAATGTGGGTGTGATGTTCTCTGTGAGAAATTATTTTGAGCACAAATTTGTATGAAGAGGGCCGGCCGAATGGCTCAGTTGGTTAAGAGCTTGCTCAAGAGTTTGAGCTCTGAGCAACAGCGGTCTGAGTCCTGGCCCGAGCTGAGCGCTGCTGAGCTGCCAACAGGTGGCAGGATGGCTCAGCTAAAAAAAAAAAATTTGTATGAAGGAAGGGAGTGAACCACTAAGGGATCCTGGGAATTGCATTTCAGCCAGAGAGAACAAGCAGAACAAAGGCCCTGACATGTGTATTTTGAATTAAATGCTTGGCATGTTTTTGAAAACACCAGGAAGGCCAGTGGGGAGAGAGTATAAGAACTAGAGAAGAGAGTGGTGGGAAATTCAATGCAGGAAGTACCTTTGTAGGTCATGGTACAGCCTTGAGATTTATTTTTAGAAAAATCTCTTAAAATATTTTGGAAAATGAATATGGCAAAACTACAAAATATCATTGATGTTTTCTTTACAGGGCAATGGCTCTTTCATCCTGAAGTTACCTGGGTTTATATGGCCATTCATTTACTTATTCCATTATTAACCAGCTAGAGGGGCCCATTATGACCCGCAGTCTTCCTCTTCACAGGCCACAGTCCAGGTGGGCTGTCAAGGCACATTCAGAATTCATTAAAAACAAAATTTCATAGAATCATACAATCATAGATGGTGCCAGTTGGCAGGAACCTTTTCATCTGACCTGCCTGTTTTCCAAATGAGGAAACTGAATTCCTTCTGTTAAGCAAATGATTCCAAGTGCTCTCTTACTTGAAACTGGGGCTATTTGGGATGAACAATAATGAGAATGTCAGGAATACTAAAGCCAAAAGCAGATGAGTAATGACTGTCAGCTAGTGAAAACAATCTCTGCAAGATAGAGGCTTCAAACACCAGATGGCAAATTAGGCAAGAGAGTTGTTGCTATGGAACAGAGTAAACTGCTCTTGAGGCCATTGTGAAATCGCTTGGCCATCCAACAAAATAAGGTAACATATTGCAACCCATACACAAAATCCACTCCTAGGCATTGCAATGGGAGATAAAAATCAGATAAAAATGTGAGGTCTTAAAATTTCTGAAGCTTGTGGTCAAAGATGAAAATTGCCATATTAGTTCAACTCACCTCCAACAGCTTAATGGAAAAGAAAGATGACGTGAGACTGCCTTTAAAAAACAAAGAAAGTCAGCCTATAAAGGTAGAATTGCACAAATTCATGTTACAAAGGCTCCAAAGGGTAGCGTGATGAACTTGTCTTCAAGTCCAATATTGTCATTTTACAGATGAGGAAACAGACCAGGCAATGTGACTTGTCTAAGGTCACAGGGCAAGCCAGGAGTATCTGCTAGACTTGAATCCATTTTCCCAGAGATTCTTCCAGACTTCTATGACTGCTTCTCTCATGGTATAAACCAAGGGTTAGCAAACTTTGACAAAGGGCCAGGTAGTAAGTATTTTAGGCTCTGCAGACCATATTGCCTTTGTTGTATTCCTCAACTATGTCATTGTAAAGCAAAAGCAGCCGTAGACAATGTATATACAAATGGGTGCAGCTATGTTCCAATAAAACTTTGTTTATAGAAAACAATTCACATTTCATATACTTTTCATTTGTTAAGGCACATTCTGCTTTTTTTCCAACCATCTAAAAATATAAATACCATACTTAGTTCACTGGCCATATAAAATCAGACAGTGGGCTGACTGGACTTGTGGGCCACAGTTTGCCAACCTCTGACGCAGTCCCCTAAAAAGATGCATGAAAATTAAAACTGTATAATTTGAAAACCATACCAGTGGCTTATAGTAGCATTTCTAGGAAGAATTATCTTATGATTGTTTTTCAATTTGTAGTAATAATACAATAATTTCAATTAATAATTAATTAAAATTTCAAATTAATTCTTAATTAATTAATTTTAATTAATAATTAAAATAATTAATTCTTTTTTTTCTTTTTTTTAAAGATTTTTATTGGGGAATTGGGGGGATGGGAACAGTGCTGGGGAATTGAGGAAAGGGGAACAG